TCAAGCCTTTCTTCCCCTCAGTCTTCCTGATGAAATTAGTGTGTGAAGAGGCATAGCTGCATGGTCCTCAAAAGCCATTCCTTGTGTTCCAATAATTTAGAAACTTTCAGTGCTTTGGAACTAAGCCAAGCTTTACTGCTTGTGCAACCTTTCTGAATGCTGTACGGAAAAGCACATAAATCTGACCTTCAGAGAGTTTTTATGTAAACCATTTTTAACTTACCAAATGTGTGGCCTTTTTTCTATGTTGGAGAAGTGAAAAAGCTTTGGAAGGAACTCACAAGGGCATATTTTAAAGGTCCTGTGTCCTATATTTCCAAGTTTGCTGCATATTTTGTTATTTTTAAAATCTCTACTGGGGTTCTTTCACCGAAGAGTACTTGCCCCAGACTTGGATCTTGGCATCCAGGAATTCTCCTCCCTTGCCCCATCAATTATCTCCTTCATTTCAGAACCTTTGGTTCATTTCCTTTAATCTTTTCTTCACTGGAATTCTCTGTCTGTCTGTCTGTCTGTCTGTATATCTGTCTACTCATCCCCCACCCCTCACGCACGTAGCCTCTGTGCACTAGCTACATCACTTTCAACATCAGTGCCAATGTTCTAATTCTTCTCCTTCAGAGATCTGGAACCTGTGTGGCTGGACTCCAGCCCCAGCTAACATGGCCAACAATGAACAAACAAGGAGCAGTAACATCTGGAGGACCATCCTAGTTCCACTAAACACTCCATCTCTTGGACACTTGCTTGATCCTCTCATTTATCTCCCCATCCCTACACTTCATTTCCCTCCTCACTCCGTACAAACGCATCTGCTATTCACTCTATAGCTTCAATCCCTTGTCATTTTCTGTGCCATTATGGTTGGGCAGCTGTTTCCCTCACCTTCAAAGCCATATTTCCTAAAGCACTCCTAGCCTGAAGCCTGGTCTGCAGATGCAGAAAAATGGGGTGAAGTGGCAGAAGGAAATATATCGCCGCCCCCCTTCAGATTGCAGGTGGGACATTGATCCTTGCTTCTCCTCTTAGCAAGAGTGTGGGTGGGTGTGTTTGGGTTGTGTGTATTGAAGAAAGAGGTGGGAGGAAGACATGTGGATAACAAGTGTCCTTAGTTTCCAGGTACAGTCCCAGATTCACACAAGCCGTCCCAGTTTCTGATTTCATCCCAGAATATCCTGCTTTTCCTTTTGTTGTTGTTTAGTCATTTAGTCGTTTCCGACTCTTCATGACCCCATGGACCAGAGACCGCCAGGCCCTCCTGTCTTTCACTGCCTCCCGCAGTTTGGTCAAACTCATGTTTGTATCTTCGAGAACACTGTCCAGCCATCTCGTCCTCTGTCGTCCCCTTCTCCTTGTGCCCTCAAACTTTCCCTTAGTACATCCCTATTTTCATCGGAAAAGTGTTGGGAGGGTATGGAGTTATGTGACTCACGAGACAAGGAAATAAGTAACTAGAAGATACCTAAGAAGATATCTGAAGGCAGCCCTGTATAGGGAAATTTTTCAATGTTTAATGTTTTATCATGTTTTTATTTATGTTGGAAGCTGCCCAGGGTGACTGGGGCAACCCATTCAGATGGGTGGGGTATAAAAAATAAATTTATTATAATTAGTAGTAGTATTAATATTAGTATTATTATGGAATAGGACTTCCTTGTTTCCATTGTAGAAATGTTGGAGGGTATGCAGTTTCATGTTCAGTTTCATACTTAGATTGGCACAAAGTGTTAAAAGCCATGGGGTGATAATGGTAGTTCGGCTTTTGGCTCAACATTCAGAGAGGTTTTCAAGTACGTGGGAAATGGAAGAAGGGGCTGCCCTAATCACATAAGAGAAGCAATGCTAATGTTGCAATTATTATTTAATAGGTGATTCCCCATGTGTGTTTGCTGTCTTCATTAGGGGAACTTCTCCAGCCTTTAACTAGACACAGGCCTAGCATCTCGTTCCAATGTGATACCGTATTTTTCGCTCTATAACACGCACCTCACCATAACACGCGCGTAGTTTTTAGAGGAGGAAAACAAGAAAAAAAATATTCTAAATGAAACAGTGGATGTATGATTTTTGTGGTTCATGCTGTGGCCACAGACATGTGATCTGACGGTGAGTTTGGGGTAGCCCAATGCAAAAATCCTGATTATCCTGTGGATCCATAATTATCCTGTGGATCCATGCTTTGTAACCACATTTTTGCGCCATTGCGGCCCCATGAAACAGTGGGTGCGTGTGTGTTTTGTGGTGCAGGCTGTAGCCATGGACATGCTATGTGATCTGAAGGTGAATTTGGGGTGACCCAGTGCAAAAATCCTGAGGATCCATGTGGATCCGTGCTTTGTAACCACGTTTTAAGTGGGGAGGGAAGGGAAAGCACTCAAGGGACAAGGAGCACGCGTGGGGTGTGTGGAGAAGCATGTTGCTAATAATGCAGGAGAGGGGTTTAAGGGGAGAAGGAACACACTTGGGGTGTAAGCGGCTCCTCTCCCGCTTTGCTGTTTCAAAGCAAGCCACGGAGGAGGGAAGGAAGGGGAACCATGGATCCTCTGCTCACGACTGCAGCAGATCCCCCCGCCATCCGTAGGCATTTGCTCCATAACACGCACAGACATTTCCCCTTACTTTCTAGGAGAAAAAAAGTGAGTGTTATGGAGAGAAAAATACGGTACTTGTAGAGGAGCAATGTCTCTAAATGTCATTCTGTCCTGCATCCTCCAGCCTGGGTGGATGTTTCTGAGATCGGGGCACAAAGGTAGCAGCCACCTCTTCTGGATGCCTCTGAACAACTTGGAGGCGTATTTTAAGGATGGGAAGGAAATTTGACTTGCATTTGAATGTGGATCTACCTAAATTGCACTTCCCAAATCAATATGGGAACTGAAGCACAGCTATCTTTTGCATTTCTCAGAAATTTGTGGTGTGGTCCTCCAGCTCCCTCCCCAGCAAAGGGCATGTATTAAAGGGAAGTGTGCCTAAGAATGCATACCGGTATATTAATGAAAGCAGTGCTCTGTTGGGAGAAATTGCTTGCAAAAAAAAAGGTGTGTGCATTGGGCAAAAATGAGTACTAAAATGCTGACAAACCTTTTTGATTACTTTTTAAAAAAATGCTAAATATTCACAATATTTATGAACCACTTGATTGTTGAAAACAAACTACAAAGCAGTTTAGAAAAAGAATAAAGCAATAAATTATCAATAAAAACATCTAGTGAAAACATTCAAGAAATTGAGATTAGCAATAAACTAAATACAGATTAAAACACACATGGAAATCTGGCTAGGGCAAAACTGGAAAAGCGAGAAAGGGGGAGGAAATCAGAATTGATAGATTCATCTATTCCCTAATATATTTTGCTAGTGTGCCTGATAGCTGTGTTAACAGACCAATCTTTCATGAATTTATCTAATTCCCTTTTTGATGCCATCTCCATATCTTGATTTGCACCTCAAGTTAATACTCTTTTGCAGTCTCTTTGCTTCTTTATTTTAAAGGCAAAAGAAGGGAACACAGTTTTCAAGCATGAAAACAAAATACGGCATGTGGCCATCTCCTTGTAACGCTCTTATTAAAAGAGATATGCCTTTCTTTTAAGGGTAGTTGAGCAGATGATAAAATGTACAGGGAGAATTCCAAGGGTGACATTGCATATTGCCTGTAGCTAATTAAAAATTGCTGGCTGCTCCCAGATACCTCTCATTCTAATCAAGGTATTCAAATTGTGTTGCAGTCAATGGAAGCGTAATCTGTTGCCTGCAATTTCATTTTCTGGTTTGGTTTCACACAATGGCCATATCATTAAATTGCCTTCCTTGGTTTAAACGGATCCCAAACATACCTTCTTACGGAACCCAGCTAAAGAGGGACTTTAGCATTTAATTGCTAAATAAAGGGCTTGTGTTCTAAGGGACACAATTAACAGCCTTCTGTTAATTGTTTGCAACATGCAGGCTGTGTGTCTCACTCAGGGGCCCAGGAGCTGGATGCAGCTTTTCAGACTTTTTCTGTCTGACTGTATAGACTCTTACGCACTCTCTCTCTCTCTCTCTCTCACACACACACACACACCCCTCTTGCCAGACCACACGTTTCGCCTTCCTGCTTTGCACCCTCCTCAAATGCTTTTACCTGGCTGGGATGCATCCTTGAATTGTTATCGTGCTTCTTGCCTTCCAGGATCGAGGATTGAGAGGGGTGTGTGTGTGTGTGTGTGTGTGTGTAGAAACTAGTGTACACTACAAAGTTAAATTGTACAGTGGTACCTCTGGCAGGTGGTGCTGTGGGTTAAACCACAGAGCCTAGGACTTCCCGATCAGAAGGTCGGTGGTTCGAATCCCTATGACGGGGTGAGCTCCCGTTGCTCGGTCCCTGCTCCTGCCCACCTAGCAGTTCGAAAGCACGTCAAAGTGCAAGTAGATAAATAGGTACCGCACCGGCGGGAAGGTAAACGGCGTTTCTGTGCACTGCTGGTTTGCCTGAAGCGGCTTAGTCATGCTGGCCACATGACCCAGAAGCTGTACACCGGCTCCCTCGGCCAATAAAGCGAGAGGAGCGCCGCAACTCCAGAGTCAGTCACGACTGGACCTAATGGTCAGGGGTCCCTTTACTTCGGGTTACATACACTTCAGGTTACAGACGCTTCAGGTTACAGACTCCGCTAACCCAGAAATAGTACCTCGGGTTAAGAACTTTGCTTCAGGATGAGAACAGAAATCTCGCAGCAGCGGCAGCGGGAGGGCCCATTAGCTAAAGTGGTGCTTCAGGTTAAGAACAGTTTCAGGTTAAGAACGGACCTCCAGAATGAATTAAGTACTTAACCCGAGGTACCACTGTAGATTCCTTGCTTTGCTCACTTTTGCCTCTTTCCCTGCCTGCCTGAAACTGTTTCACCACGTCTGGTCTATCCAGTCAGCTAAATTCACGTCGAAACCACACTTTCGTTTCAGACCACCTTCACCTTTATTGATTGTTTGAACAGAATTTGAGCAGCTGCAGAAGAACGATGACTGGGTGGCTGAATCAGACTGAGATGAAGGAGACGGTTTGGGCAGGAGCAGGTAACGCAGTGGGGCGGGGTCACAACAAAAGCCTCCCAGCAACAGCATTGCTACAGCTTAATATACTACAGCTTCCGCCCTGACCTGCATTTCCCACAATCGGTGCTGTTTCCGTTCCCCTTCCAGTGCCTGCTGTTTCACGAAAGTTTCATAACTATTTTTGCAACATATGTAACTTGCATTCGCTCCAATCTAACGGAAATCCCGGAGCAATGTAGAGAGAAGTCTTTGCAGACACTTGAAAACAGCTACAGTGGTGCAAAATTGTAAATGGACACTGATTGTGATTTCCCGGAGAAACGTGTGAACTGCTGCAATTTCTGCTTCCTTTTTCCATTAGAATTCCCCCAACTGCCCTAGAGGAATGAGGAGACCGTAAGGCTGATGCAGTGTGGGCACAAGAGCAGAACCAAACTGGCACTCCTGCCAGGGTGCCCACACAGCCCCGCTGCTGCCTTGTTGAACTAGCTAGGCCATTGGCTTGATCCAGCAGGCTGCTCTTATGTTCCTATGTTACCGGTGCTGCCGCTGAAGGTCTACTGCTGGGGCTCCAGCCTCCTAGACTGTCCATTTCTGGATGTGGATCAGGTGAAAAGACAACACAAGACTAGGCCCTCCAGAACACAACTGAGAGTAACAGAGAGATACCTCCTTCTTCTTCTTCGAACAGATCTCAACAGGATTAGCTACAAAGGAATAAACCACCAAAGCATGATCGCCGATACCGACGCCAACACATTGAGAATGGGAAAATTAAAGTGGTTCTAGATACAGAGGGTGTGTGGAAATATAAGAACAAAAATACCAAGTTGGGACAGATCAATCTACCCAGGCCATCTGGGCAGTTTAACCAGGGAAAGCTGTAAAGCAATCATAACATGTGAAAAAGCTTCGGGTCATTTAATGAGCCACTATTATATTGGTCAGCATACAATAGGAGTGAGATTCAACTAAGTTGTTCTGTGTGCAGAACAAGATGCACTCTGCTCTGAAATGGTTGGAGGAACCCTCAGAACAGGTTTAGGGAGTGGGTTTCAAGGAGGATAGGGGGAAGTCCTGTTGGGTGTATGAATCTCATTCCCTATGCTCATACCCCACTTAGTATTCCCACTGTACTCCACCCATAGTAGGCAAATTTTTAATTCACCAATGGCAGCAAAAAACAAACCAACCCACAGTCAAATCTTGGGCCAGCCTGGCTTGTGCAGGAGCAGTTGAAATGAATGGGTACTGAGTTAGAATACTATTGTGCCGTTTTGATGACCATTTCCTGGGGATTATACCTTTCTGTCATCTTGAAGGTGCTTTTTCCGTAGCAACCTGAGTCTAGGGATATCTGCCTAGATAATCTGCAGAAAATAGTGGGAGGAGGAGGAGTTTGATACTATCGTTTCAATTACTCAGCTGTTGCTCTTGGACGTGGTAGTGAAATAAGCAAAGCCCACGGGCGAAAATTTGACATGTTGAAAAACTTCTTGTCTTAGCCAGCATTTGCATGCATGCGCATGTGTGTGTGTGTGTGTGTGTGTGTGTGTGTGAAAGAGAGGGAGAGAGAACACTAAATATAGTAAGGGCGAGGCTCCAGTGATGCAGATTAGCTGACTTCCCTGAGGGCTTTATGGACTCGTGTGGTGGAGTATAAATCAGAATAAAATAACAGGAACAAACACAGAGCTCAGTAAAAGTATGTTGTCCATCGCTGTGCTCTGCCACTGTAATATCGGGGGAAAGCCACTCCCTCTCCTTTTCCCTCTGGCAAAATACTTGAGACTGTGGTGTGGCTAGCCAAGCAAACGAAGGATGGTATTGGGAGGAAAACTGGATATACGTCTAATCTGATCATTCTCTGGTGGCAGATTTGGGTTCTAGAGCAGTTGAAGCGCTTGGTCATTGTTATGGCTGGGCGATATATCACTATATCGTCCAAAACTGGTTTGAAGTCCATACTGTATTGTGATATTGGTTTCATAATTTTTGACCTGGCAATATATCGCGAATCATTATGTGTGTTATGCAAAAATCACAATCCGGGGGAAACCGTGAAGCCAGCCAATGTCTCTACATAGCTCCATCTTTATTTCAGACATCATGATATACAGTGGTACCTCGGGTTACATACGCTTCAAGTTACATATGCTTCAGGTTACAGACTCCACTACCCCACTACTAGCTCGGGTTAAGAACTTTGCTTCAGGATGAGAACAGAAATCGCGCGGCAGTGGCATGGCAGCAGCAGGAGGCCCCATTAGCTAAAGTGGTGCTTCAGGTTAAGAACAGTTTCAGGTTAAGAACGGACCTCCGGAACGAATTAAGTACTTAACCTGAGGTACCACTGTATCAGCCTATTGTGAAGTTTAGCTGGTGAAATATCCCTACATCCCTACACATATAGAAGGCCCCATCAGTTTCATACCACTTTCAGCAGTTACAGTGGTGCCCCGCAAGACGAATGCCTCGCAAGACAAAAAACCCGCTAGACGAAAGGGTTTTCCATTTTTCGATGCGCTTCGCAAGACGAATTTCCCTATGGGCTTGCTTCGCAAGACGAAAATGTCTTGCGAGTCTTGCGATTTTTTTCGCTCCCCCCCCTTTTTCTAAGCCGCTAAGCCGCTAATAGCCTTTTAGCCGCTAAGCCGCTAAGCCTTTAATAGCCGCTAAACCGCTAATAGCGCTAATCCGCTAATTCGCTAATAGGGTTGCTTCGCAAGACGAAAAAACCGCTAGATGAAGAGACTCGCGGAACGGATTATTTTCGTCTTGCGAGGCACCACTGTACATCTTCCCCCAAAGAATCCTGGGAATTTTAGTTTGTTAAGGGTGCTGATGGGTTCTTAGGAGACCCCTATTCCCTTCACAGAGCTGCAATTCCCAGAGTTCCCTGGAAAGAGGTGTTGCTTGTTGAACTGCTCTGCGAATTGTAGCTACGTGAGGGGAGTAGGGGTCTCGTGACAACTCTCAGCACCTTTAACAAACAATGCTTATCAGGATTTCTTGGGGGAAGCCATGACTGTTTAAGGTGTCAGGACAGGGCCCTGCCCGCCCCTGCTGCCACTGGAGAGGCAAGGAGACGCCTCTGCATGATCCCACTAAGAGAGGCTTCCTGTTTTGCCTCGTGCAGTAGGGAAGAGCGGCCCTTGTGGTATGATACAGTGGTACCTCTGGTTACAGACGCTTCATGTTACAGACACTTCAGGTTACAGACTCCGCTAACCCAGAAATAGTACCTCAGGTTAAGAACTTTGGTTCAAGATGAGAACAGAAATTGCGCAGCGGCAGTGGGAGGTCCCATTAGCTAAAGTGGTACCTCAGGTTAAGAACGGACCTCTGGAACGAATTACGTTCTTAACCAGAGGTACCACAGTATTGCTTTAAATGTTTACTGCAGGAGGGCCTAAGTTTACTTCCTCCTTAACCATAACTGATGACCTGACATACTTGGTATATTTAATGTGGGTTTCTATTTATTTTCTTCTTAGTGCTTTGAATAACTGCCAGAGCCGTAGCTAGGTGATCTTGTGCCCCTGGCAAAGCTGTCCAGATTGCGCCGCCTAGCCACGGACAAATTAGCTCTTCTTTCCACCTCTCCTCCAACCCTCTCACCCACCCATTCAATTCACTCTCTATTTAAAACCATTTCTTATGAGGCAATAATCAATATTTATATTTATGGACATATTTTAAAGCCGATTTTATGCCTCCTCCAATTGCCTGCGCCCCTGGCGGGGGTCCACCTCGCCACCCCCTAGCTACAGCCCTGGTAACTGCGTATATTTTGTTTGTGTGTGTGTGTGTGTGCTTGTGCCAGTGTGATGTAGTGGTTAAGAGCGGCAGACTCGTAATCTGGTGAACCGGGTTCGCTTCCCTGCTCCTCCACATGCAGCTGCTTGGTGACCTTGGGCTAGTCACACTTCTCTGAAGTCTCTCAGCCCCACTCATCTCACAGAGTGTTTGTTGTGAGGAGGAAGGGAACGGAGATTGTTAGCCGCTTTGAGACTCCTTTGGGTAGTGATAAAGTGGGACATCAAATCCAAACTCTTCTATGTGATCACGGGACACCTTTACCTACTTTCCCAACAAACCAGGTGCAGCCATGCATAGCCATGCTGAGTGCATTGCCAAAAGCCCTTGGAATAAATGCAGTCCTATCAGGGACCCGGCAAACCTTGGCCTTTTTGCTGCTTGCCTTGTCGGGCGGGTGCCAGGCCAGAGGGTTGCCTTTGCTTTGGCCTGGTAGGTCGTACGTTATTCGGTAAACCAAGGGTTGGGAACCTGTGGCCCTTCAGATGTCACTGGACCACAACTCAATTGGCTGGGGCTGATGGGAGTTGGAGGAGAGCCTCCCACCTCTGCAGTAAACGGACTTTGCGATCTCGTGTAGTCATAATTCTCATAATGTTCCCTCAGCCTCTGACTCCCCTGCCCCCTATTTTCCATATCACTTAAATTCTGGGGTCCTCGGAGGGGCTGTGTTCTGCCGGCTATGTTTTTTCTACCAAGTGCGGTGCGTGCCAAAAGCTCTGTATAAATAACAAACGTTGCAATAATATTCCCAGGGCTCTCCGCTTCTTAAGTGTGTGTTTGTTTGTATGGCTTTCGGAACATGGCGGAGCAGAACGGTTCTGGCTCCAGAAGGGATCTGTGAGGAGACATAATAAGGCCAGGAGACGCGCAAGTGCTGTCATTTGCTGCGCTGGCCCCCATGTTCCACAAGAGTGCCAAGCATCTTAATTGTAGCCATCTTTTTTAATTTTCATCCTGTGCGCTATCTGGCATGCTAGGAATGCCATGTTTTTCTTTTCATGCCGTGCCGAACGAACTCCGAGTCCTAATCCGGTTGGGCTCTTGGATGCGTCGAATACTTCTGCTTGCTTGTTTTTTTTTCCTTTCTTTTTTGGCAGAGCGACCTGGAATGATAATGAAGCAGGTGCGTAGGCTCAGCTTTGACAGAAATGTATAATTCTGTGGGCGGATCCTAGTGAAGATCCTAGACTGCGATAGTGGAAAACAGAACGTCAGTTGCCAATCGTGAAATTTAGGTGGAAGGTTACATGAGATTGAATTGCTGGGAGAAATGTGGCGGCTGTAACTTAATGCGGGCAATGAGCAATGGAAAAGCTTCGGTGTGGTGGTGGTGGTGGAAAATAGCTTGTGGCATCAGTTCATGCCTAGGTGGCATACTACAGGATGCAGAATCTAACCCAGGATCTGCAATCCTGAGGATCTTCATTCTTACACATTTCTTGCATGCCCCTCGTGTGTTTGGAGATGTACAGAACAGTGGTGCAATCCTTGCCCCGATGACTTTGAGAATATACTCCAGGTTGCTTAGTAAAGGTTAGTTACCTAGAGTTGCATCCATCTAAGTCACTGCACATTGCTCCTGATCTGTTCTGGGGGCTTCGGGAAATTCCCAGATAAGATTTGGGGCAGGGGGGCAGTGCAGGGAGATGAAATTCTGTTGCCCAAGCAGAAGTTGTTCAGCTAATGCAATGACTTGCAACTCCCATTTACATAACATAATAAGGTCTGTTGAATTTAGCCCATTAATCAGCTAGGTTGATGAAATCATTTTGTGGTGATTAAAAATGTGTTTGCACTTCAGCTAGATAGTAGGCTTTTTAAAAATTGTGCGTGGGTGGCGCTGTGGGTTAAACCACGGAGCCTAGGACTTGCCGATCAGAAGGTCGGCGGTTCGAATCCCCGCAACGGGGTGAGCTCCCGTTGCTCGGTCCCAGCTCCTGCCAACCTAGCAGTTCGAAAGCACCTCCAAGTGCAAGTAGATAAATAGGGACGGCTCTCCGGCGGGAAGGTAAATGGTGTTTCCGTGTGCTGCTCTGGTTCGCCAGAAGTGGCTTAGTCATGCTGTCTGCGGACAAGTGCTGGCTCCCGGCCTATAGAGCGAGATGAGCGCGCAACCCCAGAGTCGGTCACGACTGGACCTGATGGTCAGGGGTACCTTTACCTTTACCTTACTTGTACAAATCAAATGAGGCAAGCCTCATCTTAGAAGACTTGTTTCTCTTTTATTTTTATATACATGTATGTATATATAAATATATATATACATATATATTTGTATATATGTACACACACACACACAATTTATACATATAAAAGATCACATACAGATCACAGCACCGTATCTTTACATAAAATTAATAGAGAAGAAACTCACTCCTAGTTTACTCTCATAGTCAGCTATGCCTCTTTTATGATGCTGCCTGCAGCAATTGTACATGCATAATCAAAGGCAATATGCATTTGTTTGTTTGTTTGTTTATTGCTTGCTTGCTTGTTCGCTTGCTTTAAAGTGGATCTGCAGTGAGAAACACTGCATAATTTGCCTACTGCCACATTTTGCAATTCTACAAATACATAGGAAAAGCTGTCAAGGGTGTTTTGCAATACAGTCTTATTTACACTCGGACATTTCCGATCCTGCTATACAATATGGTGTGTGTGGTCAGGGAGGCAGTGACACCTGCCTAAGCTGGACCTGCTACACTCAGCGATGGGTGTGTAGGTGGGACTCCCCTCATGCCTGGTCCGGAAGCTGCAGTTAGTACTGAACGCTACAGTGCAATGGCTCACAGGAGTGCAAGTCTGTCAGCAGGTTACGTATTGCTCAATGATCTGTGCTGGCTGCCAGTTTGCTGCCAGGCTGAGTTCAAGGTCTTACCGTTGGTATATAAAGCCTTTTACAGCTTGGGACGGGCTTACCTGAAGGACTGCCTTACCCCCTAACGTGCCTGTTAGATCCGTTTACAAGCGCAACACGGTGTTCGTTCCACATTAGTGAGCTGTCCTCTCTTTAGCGTGGCAGCGCCTGCGCTTGGGCATCCCCGACATCTGTTGACATCCGTATCCAGGCTCCCGCCCCAAAACACACAAGCTCTTGCTTGCAAGTAAGAATGAGAACTTTGTTCACACAAGCGACAGGCTTAGCAGCCCAGGGCTTGGGGCTAAGGAGTTCAGCAGGACGGGAAGTTCAGAACCGTAGGGAAAGCGTCGAAGATGTCACAATGAGTTTCTGTGCCACACCTGCCGAAAAAGAAGAGGTGGGGTGCACTCGCTCGCCTTGTGGAAATGAGATGCTCTTGTCAGGGTGAATGGGTCTGCTTCCATCTGCAAAGGAGGTACCCGGTTAGGTATGGGAAGATTGCACCCTCTTATTCCGACTAAACATTAGTTAGAACTTTCTGGCAGTAATAGCTGTTTGACAGTGAGACAGACTCCCTCGGAAGGTCGGCTCTCCTGTGTTTGAGGTTTTTAAACACAGGTTGGATGACCACCTGTTGCAGATGTTTTCATTGTGATCCCTGCATTGCAGGAGCTTGGACTAGAGGGCTCTTGGGGGTCCTTCCAACTCTATGATCAGTGCCTCCACCCCCCAGCCTCCCTGCTTCTGAAGTGGCTGAAGTTGGGGTGGGAAGGCGCAATCCAGTCCAGGTTCCCACTGTTCGAGCACCCCTTTCTTTTTCCATAGCTTCCTCTTGCACCCCTGCCTGCCAATCCATGCTCAGTCCTATCACCTGTGCTATACAGTGCTGTTTTAAACACCTGCTAAAATATTTTCTGCTCCAGTGGGTCTACCCAGACGCATAATTTGGTCGTATCTACCAGCATGGTGTAGTGGTTAAGAGCAATAGACTCGTAATCTGGTGAACCGGGTTCGCGTCTCCACTCCTCCACATGCAGCTGCTGGGTGACCTTGGGCTAGTCACACTTCTTTGAAGTCTCTCAGCCCCACTCACCTCACAGAGTGTTTGTTGTGGGGGAGGAAGGGAAAGGAGAATGTTAGCCGCTTTGAGACTCCTTCGGGTAGTGATAAAGCGGGATATCAAATCCAAACTCCTCTTCTTCTTCTTACCTTTGTTTAGTGTTTGACTATGTTTATTGCTCTTAAATGCCTAGGGGTGTTTTTACATGTTTCAGATGTGTTAAATATGTTTCTGTTTTGTTTTTTAATTGCACTGTTTTACCACAAGTGCGTTTGCTTCCCTGAGCTCTTTTGGAAGGGTGGTTGGGATAAACATTTAATGAATGAATGGAATACAAATTGGAATAGGGCACAGATTCTGTACACTATCGTCATAGCAAATGGAGGCAGTGAGTGCCGACAGTTACATAGCCACTCAGAAGCAAAAGCATTAGTATCCTTAGGAGAACACCAAGTTTGCGGCAGTGCCCCCCCCCTCCCAAATGGGCAAGGAACGGAATGGAGTTTTCTAGAGGAGGGGCTGGCTGGCTGGCATTTTGAACAGGGATGCTCCTTGTAAGGGATATTCCAACTAGGGATGGGAGAGACATTTGAGTTAATTTGCATTTAAAGATAAATTTCCCTAATTTGCACTTTCCAAAAGAATGCGTGGACCGAAACACAACCCATCCTTTGAAATTCACACTTTTCCAGATTCTGCGGTGCAGTACTCCAGCCAACTAATCTGTCCAAAAACATATATACTGGAATAAAGTGTCTCTGAAAATTCACATAATAGCTAAAACCGCATGCAAAAGCGTCTTATTTCGGGGGAAAGCGTATTGCAAAAATGTGTCTATTGGGCAAAAAAACGTGTGTATTAGTCGATATCCACACTGGAACGCTGATGAATTTTCATGACTTTAACATCACTAACGTATACATGTGACAAACTGAATTTAAGATCTGAGAAATTAGAAACTGAAATTGACAGGTTCACTCATCCTTAACGCCAGCAATTTTAATGCAGGTTCTCTAATAGCAAACTCGGGGGGTTGAGTCTCTCAGCATGTAAGCAAGACGGGGCCACCCAAAAATTAAATAGTGGCTTCTGCATCCACGGACAGTGACCCAGAAATGCAGAAGTATATGCATTGGTGATTTTAAAAGCAAATGGCTTTAAAAAAAAAAAGTAACCCCAGTCGGCAGAAATCTGTGGGCTTACACTGTGCTGATGGTGGTTGAAACGATAAAGAGAGAGATTAAAGGGTTTCTAAAGAATGCAGGATACAGGCAGACAGTGTGAGTCTGTATAGCTGAGAGTTGTAGAGGCACAAAATGTTTTATGTTGATAAGGGCAGGTGGGGAGGACAGAGGAAGAGCGGGAGATCTGACCTGATCAAGCCCCAGAGAATATATTGTAGGATTCCTTGGGTAGAAGGGGGGAGGTAATTATTATTATTATTATTATTATTATTATTATTATACCCTACCCATCTAGCTGGGCTTCCCCAGCCACTCTGGGAGGCTTCCAACAAAATATTAAAATACAATAGTCCTTCAGATATTAAAAGCTTCCCTAAACAGGGCTGCCTTCAGAGGTCTTCTAAAAGTCAGGTACAGTGGTACCTCGGGTTACATATGCTTCAGGTTACACACTCCGCTAACCCAGAAATAGTGCTTCAGGTTAAGAACTTTGCTTCAGGATAAGAACAGAAATCTTGCTCCGGCGGTGCAGCGGCAGAAGGACCCCTTAGCTAAAGTGGTGCTTCAGGTTAAGAACAGTTTCAGGTTAAGAACAGACCTCCAGAACTAATTTAGTACTTAACCCATGGTACGACTGTAGTTGTTTATTTCCTTGACATCGGATGGGAGGGCATTCCACAGGGTGGGCGCCACTACCGAGAAGGCCCTCTGCCTGATTCCCTATAACTTCGCTTCTCACAGTGAGGGAACCACCAGAAGGGCCTTGGAGCTGGACCTCAGTGTCCAGGCAGAACGATGGGGGTGGAGATGCTCCTTCAGGTATACTGGACCAAGGCAGTTTAGGGACTTAAAGGTCAGCACCAACACTTTGAATTGTGCTCAGAAACGTACCAGGAGCCAATGTAGATCTTTCAGGACTGGTGTTATATGGTCTTGGCGGCCACTCCCAGTCACCAGTCTAGCTGCCGCATTCTGGATTAGTTGTAGTTTCCGGGTCACCTTCAGAGGTAGCCCCACGTAGATCACATTGCAGTAGTCCAAGCGGTTAAGGCTGACACGTGTGCTGGCAGATGGTTAAAAAATGCCCCACTGCATTTATGATGAACCTAGTTCGCACTGTCCGCAACAAAAACCGAAATGCAACTATCATTTGGAATTCGCTCTTCTCTGAATTTCTAAATGCTTTTCTCCATCCAAATGACAACAGGTGTGCGTGTGTGAGAGAATGGGGGGCAACAAGTCCTGCAGGAGCACTGTTGGGTGGAATTCATCTATTGGGGGATTGGCCATGGGTTGCCAGGGGGAGAGGGTGGGCCAAGAAGGAAGGCTGGCTTTTCCAGTGGCAAGGATATGGATCCCTGCAGCAGTACTCCTTAGAATAAATTTTATTAGTGCTTCTAGAGAAAAATACAAAACTGAATACCAAATATATTTTCCTCTCTCTCTTTTTTTGTCCAAACTAAGACATTGATCTAAACACACTAAAAGCATAAAGAGGGAGGGGGGGAGGAATAAGGATAGAGAGAAAGAAAGAAAGAAAAATAATTGGAAAAGAGGATAAAAGAGAGAAAAATAAATAAAATTCAGAAGGTAAGGGACTTCTGATTTTTCGTCCGTCCGCTATATAAAAACAATATTCACTTCATTCATTCCAATGTAACAACCAAGAAAACCACTTTCTATAAAGAAACATTTTCCTTTTTTTTCCAATTTCCAATTTTTTCAGTTTATACTTTTCAAGTTCATAAATTTCACTATTCATGCATTTCACTAATTTTACAATCATTTTGACATTTCAAAACTTGACTTCATTCCCCTCTTTCTGCGGTTCCTTATATATATATTTCATATCTTTTGCATATCCAAATTAACCTAATTTGCTCATTTATTCATCTTTTTAAAATATATGCTCTTGTGAAACTGCAGGTTATTACAATAATCCTACCAAGATTTCTATCTCTTTACAATTTATCTGTAAATATTCAATAAACCATTTCCATTCTTTTATAAAAAGTTTGCTATCTTGATTTCTTATTCTTCTACTAAGTTTCACCATTACAGTGGTACTTCGGGTTACATACACTTCAGGTTACATACGCTTCAGGTTACAGACTCCGCTAACCCAGAAGTATTACCTCAGGTTAAGCACTTTGCTTCAGGATGAGAACAAAAATTGCACTGCGGCAGCACGGCAGCAGCGGGAGGCCCCATTAGCTAAAATGGTGCTTCAGGTTAAGAACAGTTTCAGGTTAAGAATGGACCTCCGGAACGAATTATGGTAAGTACTTAACCTGAGGTACCACTGTACAGCAAACATTATCTTCAATCCTCAAATCCTAAGGAAATTTCGTTTTCCACGCAAAAACTCTACGAGAAGTTTCCGACCTTTAACAAATGTTGGCAAGGACTTTTCTCCTATCACTTTCGTCATCTCAGCCAAGTCTGTTAGTTTTAACAGCCACTCTTCCATTGCTGGTAATAAGGGGTCCTTCCATCTTTGTGCATATAAAAGTCTTGCAGCTCCTGCATCAGTGCTTCAAATCCGCGTCGATGTCTCTGATTATGGGGACCCCCTTTCCACCATTCCTAGTATGGGGCTGTACCCTTGCCTCAATCCTGGGACTCCCTGCATGAAAAATGTGAGCTGTTCCACCTGCCTAGGGCTTCTCCTGCTGTCTCATGGCTGGTGTCTATGACCAGGGTTGATGTGGTTTGATGGCACCATGAAGACACGATGTGACTGAGGCCTGCCTACTGCTGTGCTTGAGCAATTGGGGAACTCGCCATTAAGCAGAGCGAAGTGGCAGCCAATTTTTGGATGTCATGAAAGGAGAGCACATGGCTATTTGATGTATTGTATTCTTACTGCCACAGAAGGGGAGAGGTGCTTGTGGGAGCCCCCCAAAAAATTTAAGGGAAAAAAAACTCTGGATGCACATTTCCAAAATATAAGATAAAACCTACATACGGCAACAGTGTTTTGTGTTGTGTAAGCTCCTATTTGTTATGTGCAAATGGCTTTAGATACTGTTATGTACTGAGTTGAATAGGATCCAAAAGGCAGCAGTCTGATTGGTCCTAGCACAACAGGATTCAGAATTCAGCAGTCTGATTGGTCCTAGAACAATGCAGCAGTCTGATTAGTCCGCAGGAGCCACCCGATTCAGCTCCAGGTGGAAGTGAATCCACAACCTGATTGACCTACAGGAGAATCCCAGAATTAGCCAATCACGTGCAGCCCATTGTGTAAATAATGTATATAAAGCAGGTATTTGGGGGGAACTTCCATTCCTCCTCACCACTATGAGCTGAATAAAGAGCATGAAATCCACTCTCGACTCCGAGTATATTTCAGATACCTATTGGGTGCATAAATTACCATTTAGCGTATATTCAACACACACGAAACAGCGACAATTTGTTGCTGACAGAGGACAGCTGACATATAAAGGGCCCCATTACCTTCAGTAGCTTAGGGCCTCATCAAACCTAAATCTGGCTCTGGGTGCGTATGCCATTTGCAGATCTGTCGCAGGCAACAAAACGCATTGGGGCAACCCTGTATGCAGAACTTGCAGTGTTGATTTCAATCACAAGGGTTCTCTCCCACCCACACCCCTGAATTCTGGCCTGTTCCCTCTCCTCTTTTATTATTATTATTATTATTCTTTTATTTAGTACAGAATAAAACCACAAAGGGCATATCACACAAACAAGAACAAAACAATAATGCCCCTCCATCCTTTCTCATGCTACAGTGCAAATTCCTGTCTCCTACTTCCCATCCTTGTGCCCTTCATACTGAAGGTTTATGATTACAGTGGTACCTCAGGTTACAGACACTTCAGGTTACAGACTCCGCTAACCCAGAAATATTACCTTAGGTTAAGAACTTTGCTTCAGGATGAGAACAGAAATCATGCGGCGGCAGCGGGAGGCCCCATTAGCTAAAGTGGTACCTCAGGTTAAGAACAGTTTCAGGTTAAGAACGGACCTCCAGAAAGAATTAAGTGCTTAACCCGAGGTACCACTGTATTTCTAATTAAAGACAACACATAATAAATAAAAACCACTGGGTGCATTTTAAAACAGACTAGAAACCAACCTTTAAAGCGCCTGGGCAAATAAATGATTTTGGTGCTGATGCTAAAATAATTGTAACATTGAGACACCTGTCATGCTGCTACAGGATGGGTGCATTGTGCAATTGCGTGGGGCACCAAGCTATTGGTGGGGGGGTGCCAAGCTGAGCTCACTGGCTGTGATTTTTTAAAATGTTTCATCTGCCTTGAGCTAGAGTGGCAAAAAGCAAACGTCTGTGACCTTCCCCCCATCCCCAAGGTTCTACAGATTATATTCCTTCAATTAGCTGTAAAGTATGTTTCTTTTTCAGTTTTCATGTTGACATAATCCAAGCTAGGGCTGGGGCGGGGGGAGGAATGGTGGAACACAGTTTGTCTTTGGGGCAGATTTTACCAAGCACTTAGCACTTCAGATCTTATAAACACTACATAAATGATAATGAAATAAAGTGGTTTGAATGTGGGAGGTCAGTTGTATACTTTTTTTTTTTACTTATAACTTTTGTTATAAGTAAATGTTATAAAACAAAAGAATGCCTGTCAAAAGATAGGGAACTGCTACAAAACAAAAAGCAAATCAAAGCGGTTGCTAGGCTTAGTCGCTCTATGTTTTATGTAATTTTTTTTTTAAAAAGCAGCAAGAGAAGACTGAAGACAGTCATATATGGTGATACAGTGGTACCTCGGGTTACATACGCTTCAGGTTACATATGCTTCAGGTTACATATGCTTCAGGGTACAGACTCCGCTAACCCAGAAATAGTGCTTCAGGTTAAGAACTTTGCTTCAGGATGAGAACAGAAATTGTGCTCCGGCGGCGCAGCAGCAGCAGGAGGCCCCATTGGCTAAAGTGGTGCTTCAGGTTAAGAACAGTTTCAGGTTAAGAACAGACCTCCGGAACGAATTAAGTACTTAACCCGAGGTACCACTGTACTGTCTCTTCAAAGTAGGAGGCCTACTTTTTGCAGCTGAGGTTGGGAGTGTTGGAGATCAGGGAGGAGAGCTTGCCGTTTGTTTTGTTTGTGCGGAACCCGATAAAGAATCTAGGCCAACAACCCCATGAAAGCTATGCTTTGAGAGCCACCCACACGACATGACAGAGACTGGGATCCTAGAAGTGGAACAGCAGAGCAACGTGCAAGAGGTAGCCCACTTGGGTCCTTTTTCATAGACACTGGTGGGGGATAGACTGGGAGCAGCAGGCCTGTTGTTGTTTAGTCATGTCCGACTCTTTGTGACCCCATGGACCAGAACACGCCAGGCACTCCTGTCTTCCACTGCCTCCCGCAGTTTAGTCAAACTCATGCTGGTAGCTTCAAGAACACTATCCAACCATCTCGTCCTCTGCCGTCCCCTTCTCCTTGTGCCCTCCATCTTTCCCAACATCAGGGTCTTTTCCAGGGAGTCTTCTCTTCTCATGAGGTGGCCAAAGTCTTGGAGCCTCAGCTTCACGATCTGTCCTTCCAGTGAGCACTCAGGGCTGATTTCCTTCAGAATGGATAGGTTTGATCTTCTTGCAGTCCATGGGACTCTCAAGAGTCTCCTCCAGCACCATAATTCAAAAGCATCAATTCTTTGGCGATCAGCCTTCTATATGGTCCAGCTCTCACTTTCATACATTACTACTGGAAAAACCATAGCTTTAACTATAGCATGGTTATATTTTAACACAACTTGGTAATGCTGCAAAGTTACAGAGCTGCCTGGTGGGTGGGTGGAGGCAACTGGGACCATTGGGCCCAGGCCCACAAGCCCCCCCTCCCACCTCGGTTCCTGTGCATACCATTGGCCACCAATGGTAAGTTATTATTATTCTTTATTGAATTTATATACCGCCCTATACCCGGATGTCTCAGGGCGATTCACAGAAAAGATCAACAAAACCCCCCACAAAATATATAATCAAAATAAAAACAACAACTGAATAACGCACACACCCCAAAAAAGAGAGAGCCACATTTTAAAAGGGCGTAGGATGAATGCCTTTTAAGACTTTCAGGCAGGTGGCCCTGGACAGTAATATTCTGTGGCAGTTGCTCCAGGAAAAGGTTGATCAGTGGCATGAGGCCAGTTCTGAAGGCAGGAATCGTTCCTTTGCCAGCAAGTGGAAAACCTGTGTGACCGAGGCCCAATAAACAGGAAGGTGCTCTGGCACAAAGAAGTCGGGATTTTGAAGAGATACAATGGGGCAGGAAGTAGAGGAGCTGGGTAGGCTCATATAGGGAGATGATCCTTCAGGTATTTCGGTTCCAAGCTGCTTGCGGGCTTCAATGCCAGCTGAATTCAGTAAACACCGGTTGAATGGAACTGAATTAGTAAGCAGGCCAGCAGCAGAATCTTTACAACTCTCTTCCCTGCTTTGGATACGTCACCTCCTATTGTGTGTTTGCTTTGCTTTGCTGGGTCATGGATCTTGCTGTGCCAAGTCCTTAATTAAAGGGATGAACAATTGTCAACTTTCCTGTCAGGCGACACCTTTTCTGACCAACGCTTATGCTGTGTGTGGTATGCTAATAGGCAGGAACTGCAGTTTACGGCAGCAGGGAATTGCCCCATGGTAGTACTGTGGGGACGCGGGTGGCGCTGTGGGTTAAACCACAGAGCCTAGGGCTTGCCGATCAGAAGGTCGGCGGTTCGAATCCCCACGACGGGGTGAGCTCCCGTTGCTCGGTCCCTGCTCCTGCCCACCTAGGAGTTTGAAAGCACGTCAAAGTGCAAGTAGATAAAGAGGTACGGGAAGGTAAACGGCGTTTCCGTGCGCTGCTCTGGTTCGCCAGAAGCGGCTTAGTCATGCTGGCCACATGACCCGGAAGCTGAACGCCAGCTCCCTCCGCCAATAAAGCGAGATGAGCGCCGCAACCCCAGAGTCGGCCACGACTGGACCTAATGGTCAGGGGTCCCTTTACCTTTACCTAGTACTGTGGTTCGTTTATTCAAGGCTGCATCAGAGGTTCAAGCCTTTGGCCCTGCGTAGCTGTCATTTCTCTCTTTCCTTGTTCACCAGGGTGTACCTACCACTCCTGGACTTTGCACCTGCACTTAAAAAAAATGGCAAAAGGCAAGTTTGAGAAATGAGTGCCTCTGAGCATGCACAAAGTGCAAAACCACCCTCTGTGCTAAGCGACCGTTGCATCAGAGCAGATCTTAAGCCCAGGTGCCCCTTATTTTCGAAATTAAATCCCGACAACCTTAACTCCTGTCTCCCGGGTCGCCACCGCCGCCCTGTTGCCCCAGATTCTTCCAGCAGGGTTTCTTTGCTTCCCTTTTTAGCCCCGCCCCTTGTCACTTCCGTTCCTTGACAGGTTCAGTCGCGCGTCTTCCCCGCCTCCCAACCTTTTTTTTCCGAGCCGATTGGCTGGGCTCCCGCCACTCACCAACGAGGAAGCCTATCGGAATGGGAAACGCTGATTGCGGGGCGGGAGGCGGATGGGAAACGTCGGTTGAAGACGAGAGCCTTGTTTGTTTCCTCCCCCCTCCTCTTCCCCCTCCCGCTATGCCCGACCGCGCAGCGCGGATTGGCTGAGAGGCGAAGAGCGGGGCGGGACGAGGAGGCGGCGGGGCGGGGCGCCAGCCAGCCGGCGCTGTAACCGCCGCACAAACCGGCTTTGCGCTTTTCAAACGCCAACTGTGTGGCGAGCGAGCGAGCGCGAGCGCGGGGCCGGGCACGAGCGCGCTGGGGGGGCCGCTGGCACCGAGCGGCGGCAAGAAAAGAGCCGCGTCAGGGGAGGCTGGTCTGTCCCTTGAGGTGCTGCTGTCCTGCGTTGGAAACAGGGACGAAGCGGGCGTGTGTGTGTTTGAGGGGGGAGGAAATAAAAAGGAGCGTGAGGCGGCGGCGGGCGAGACAGGCAGAGAAGGCGAACCGTCTGGGCTCGGGAAACGAAGCCCTGAGGAAGGAAAAAGGGTGAGTGTGCCCTGAGAATATGTATTATTATTGTTATTCTTATTAATAGTGTTATAGGCCGGGGAGGGTTCTCTCCCCCCCCCGCGCCTCACCTCACCTCACGGAAAAGAGGGGGGCGGCGTTGCTGCTGAGGGAAAAGCACGGCCGACAATGAGGAGGGAAAGCGCCCCCTGGCGGCCTCGGCAGCAGCGCCCCCTCCCCAAAGTCTGCCCCCCCCCATCCCCATCGCCTGCCTGTGGGGATGGCGGCTCTGCTGAGGCTGGCGCTTCTTGTGGGTCACGCCGTCCCCGCCGGCGGCGACGGTGGGGCGCCTGGATGAGCTTCCCTCTCGCCGCCGCCGCCGCCACCCGGTCGCTTCTGCTTCTCTCGCTCGCCTCATGACATCCTTTCCCCAGCTTTCTCTTGAGTGAGTGTGTGTGCAGATTTGTGTGTGCATGTATATATATGTGTGTGTATATATATGTGTGCATGTATTTGTTTATTGGGGTTTTTGTTCGTGTGTGTTTATATAAATGTGTGTGTGTGCAGTGCTGCCAACTTAAATAAAATATTTATTTAATCAATCAATCACAAGAAGTAGCACACGCACGCTATTCTAATGGCAGTGCCCATCAAACTTGGTGGCTCCCAGCCCCCCTTAAATATTTTATTCTAGGCGACCTTGGCCCCTAGGAGTTGGTCCTGTGTGTGTGTGTGTGTGCGCGCGTGCATGTATTTGTTTATTGGAGTTTTTTTGTGTGTGTGTTTATATAAATGTGTGCTTTTGCATATATTTATATGTGCATTGGGGTGTTGTTTGGTTTGTGTTTATAGAAATGTGTGTTTGTGCTGTGGTGCCAACTTGAATAAAATATTGGGGGGGGCAGGTAAGCCCTGCCCCACATAATCAATCACAAGAAGTGGTACACACGCTATTCAAACGACAATGCCCATCAACCTTGGGCCCTAGGAGTTGTTCGTGTGTGTGTGTGTGTGTATATGTGTTTGTGTGTGTGCATGGAGAGAGATCACACACACATTACCGGCAAACTGCAGCTCAAGATTGCGAGAGAGGCTCAAGGACGTCTCACTCTTAGATACACCTGTGGTGCTTTTCGGGCAGCTTAATAAAAAGGAAAGGGTGACTGGTGGTTTAAAAGCCAAGCCTTGAACATGGGGAAATGCAGATTGTGCAAATGGATTCCCTTATTATTAATAATAATGATGATGATGATGATGATGGCAATTTGGCTGTCACAATCATAAGTTTGTGTCAGACATTTGGGAGCAGGAATTTTTGGAGTAGTGTGTGTAGTGTGTCCAGGGAAAAAAGGGTTGATAAAGTTGTGGATTGTGTGTGCGCAGCCATTTCAGCTTATACAGCTAGTATTTTGTTTGATGATGGGGCTCTAAGGTGGTGGCTGGCATCCTTGCCTGACCCCTTGCAGCTCTATATCTTCAGGCTGCCATCTTTCAGATCTTTTTTCATACTTCCCTCTCACCCCTTACACGGATGCCTTTTGCTTTTTTATATTTTTGGAGCGTCCAGTTGTTTAAGGTGCATGGTCAGTGCCGTGAACTACTTCTTCGCACAGTCCATTTTCACTTATGGAATTCTATTTTCAGATGTGGAGTGGGCATAATAATAGCTTAGGGCAAATTCATGTAGTTTGGGAGATGACTAAGTAACTGTGGAAGAACGTGCACATATGGCGTAGGAGCAGCAGATCACTGAGTGTGTGCAGATTTGTTGAACCGGAAACCTTCTGCAATGTGCAATTTCTGTTATCTCCTAAAATGTATATAAGGTGTACTTATAGGGACAACCCCCCCATCCTGTAAACAATGCGTAATAAGCAGAATATTGCTGAAAACACTTAAGATAAAACCCTAAAAAACAATATTATAAAAGAAACCTTATATGAAAAAGAAAATCTATTAACAATTGCAGCACCTAATCAGAGTAATCACTGAGGTTCATACCCTTGCAGGGGGTCCACTTCAGCTATTAGTGCCTCCTGACTCTTTAGCTCTCTGTTGTCACTCACTGCCTGTTCACCTGTCCCCTCTGAACATGCAAGCAGTGACTAGAGCAAGGTGATGGAGCAGCATCTTTCACTTGCTTGGTCATCTCCCATTTAGTAGTTGTATAGATTGAGTGCAGAGGGAAAGGGTAAGTAATTGGAGCGTGAGGAGAAAGTTGACCCACTGAAATCATCTTGCCCAAGGGCAGGGGTCAGCAAGCTTTTTCAGCAGGGGGCCGGTCCACTGTCCCTCAGACCTTGTGGGAGGCTGGACTATATTTTTGGAAAAAATATGAACAAATTCCTATGCCCCACAAATAACCCAGAGATGCATTTTAAATAAAAGGACACATTCTACTCATGTAAAAACATGCTGATTCCCGGACCGTCCGCGGGCTGGATTTAGAAGACGATTGGGCGGATCCAGCCCCCGGGCCTTAGTTTGCCTACCCATGCCCAAGGGTCTCTCAGAACCAGGAACTGGCACAGGTGTAGGTGCCTGATTGCAAAGAGCATTGCCATTGTGATGGTTTTTTTATTTCTAGTTACTTATGGTAATTTTAAAAATAGATTTGTAATGTACACTTAATTTAGCGTTTGTCCCCAAACCATTTAAGTACCCTGCAATACAACACTGCACAATAGTAATAGTAGTAATAGTAATTATTAATAGCAAGTTTACTCTGGAGTAAATCCCAAGTTCAATGATTTTAGGATTGCAGCATTAACTTGAAAGCCCCTAGAGGACAAAATTATTAACATTAAAAAATAACAACCCATCCAACTGCTGTAAGCCTTGCAGACAAACTCCCAGCTCAGCTCGTAACCATTAACCAGACAGGGCAAAAATTAGATATAATATGAGCATCTTCCAACTTTTCCAAACAGCATATCATTCCTTTCCTTTGGGGCTATAGCTATAAAGACCTAGCACTTAGCATCCAAGGTTCTAATCTCCCTTAATGGTGGAATATGAAGCAGAGCCATAGTTGATTAATATGAGAGGCTTTCTAAAGCTTGTGGGTTCCAGTCTGTGAAAATTTAAATGATTCCAATTAGCAAGGATTGGAAATACCTGTATCACACATTATGACCTTCTATAAAGGAAATTGCTTGATTTCTGTGGCATGGTTCCGGCCGTAGTGTTTGAAAGTTTGTAAATTGTTTCAGATTGTGACCAGTTGCTATTTATGGGACTTTCTGCACAGAAGTCTTTGTGTATTAAATTTGTGCTCAAATAAGTAACGGGAGGGAAGGACTTTTGTGTTTGGTACAGTGGGTTCCATTATATCATTGAAGTGTTATAAAAATGCATCTCCAGTTCCCATGCATTCTATGAGTTAGGGTGTTTCAGTGGACATAATGTTAGACATGAGGCTTGTAGCCTGACATGAGACTTGTATGCTTACTGGAAGTCCTGAGTTCAGCAGGGCTTCCAAGTAACTGTGTGTATAGTATGACAACCATGAATTCCAAATTCCTCTTCAGCAAATGATTTGATGGCATACACAGTACCTTTGTCTTTAAAAAAATCACTTGCTCTTAAGCTATGTGTGAAAAATATTTTAATTGCTGTTGAATCTTTTAAACCAGCTGTTTGATTACATTGTGTCCTCAGTATGGTTCATATTTTTTTAAAATAGCCTTGCATCCCATGCCTAACTTTTTTGTTCCCCTGAAACTGCTTTAGCTAAAAACTTCATTACTAATTGTAATGGGTTGCAACTTGAATGACTGCAGTTCACGTAAAAGCACATATACCTAAGAATTTCAGGCAGGTCAATGAAATGAGATTGATATGAATCTATCGAGCTATGAGTCAAAACATAGCTTTTTTTCTAATAAAGTAAAGACGTCAGTGTAAGACTTCTGCTTTTCTCCGGAACAGTTTGTGGTAAATATGTGGTAATGGTGACGTTGTGTCCTAGTTACTGATAACTTTTTTGAAAAAGAAAAAAGTAGTCTTATACAGAGTTTGACCAACATTTGCTTCAACTTCTGTATGACGGATGCTTCTAAAGCTATGTGAAGCTGTTACTTAGATAGTGTATGAGTATGAGACTACAGTTAGTTCAGGGTCTGAATGTGATACACACCTGAAAAGTTAATTTAAAAGATGGGGCACTTAAACCAAAATTGCAGTGATCTGCTCTAAATAGTTGAGAGATTCTTTTGGAACTCTTCCCAATCTGCTAGGAATTGCCATCCTAAATAATGCTCCAGTTTACAGATACCAGGAACCACACTGTTCTCTCTTACCTGTAGATCATTTATGAATGCATGAAATAGCACCCCTGGTTATTGCCTATAATCTCCTAAATAGATAGTGATCAATTGTAAGATTTTGTCTTATCCCATGACTCACACATTATTGACAAGAAAAGGAAGGCCTTTCAGACCTGGAAAAGAGATAGAAACTGTGCCACTAAGAAAAAATAAACCTATGCCAACGCTAAGGCTGAGGTTCAAAGAAGAATCAGAGAAGTAAAGAACACCTGTTGGATTAAAAAAAAAAAGCTCAAGAGATCCAGCACTTAGCCAACACTCATGATGCACAGAGTTTATTTAAAGCCAGAAAGACCATCTATGGGCCAATAAATCATGGCATATGCCCCCTACGCTCAACAGACTGTACCATACTTCTAAAAGATAAAGAAACTGGGATTGCACTGGAAAGAACATTACTAGCATCTCCTTAACTGCAAGTCCCCTGTAGCTGCTGAGGTCCTCTCACAAATTCTGCAAAAATAAATTAGAGATGAGCTTGCAGTATCTCCAAATCTGGGAGAGTTGTGTACAGCTGTCAACCAAATGAAAAACAACGAAGCCAGCGGACCTGATGGGATATCTGCCGAAATGATCAAAGTGGGTGGATTTGAACTTACATAACAATTTCACAAGCTCATTGAAAAAATATGGGAGAGAGAGGAAATCCTAACAGACTTTAGGGATGCCAAAATTATCAACCTTTTTAAAAATGGTGATCGAGCGGATTGTGGAAACTATAGAGGCATCTCTTTATTAGCTACGGCCTGCGAGTGCTCCAATTGGAGAACAACCTTAACCAAAGGTGTCATGGACTTTGAAGATGCTTGAACTCAGGACAAAAGGGAGAAATGTACTAAGAGGAAGGCACGTTTGGCAAACCCTCATATGATCAACTCCTGCCCGGAAATCTATGTCCCCACTGTGGAAGGACGTGCGGATCCAGAATTGGCCTCCACAGTCACTTACGGACTCACTGTTAAAACCGTGTTTATGGAAGACAATCTTACTTGGCTACGAGTGATTGCCAAAGAAGATCCCATTACTAGTACAATTCCTTAGAAGTGTTTTAATGAGGAGCTTCTTGAAAAAGCAACCACCCAGTTAGTGGTCTACCTGGTGTTGTAAAAGCCATGATGGCTCTTCCTTGGCAAGGAAGACAATTCTAGTCTTAATAAGGTTTTCCACTGATTTACCTAAGACAACTAACTTAAGGCTAACCAATCTCTAATTAAGTGTAATATTTAATTAGGAGAAAAAGAATAAAGCAATCTTAATGGGGTTTCAATTCAAGCAAATTAATAGATTTATTTGGAAATATTTTTATTGGAAATGGGAGGCACTGAAGTGAATGTACTGAAAATGGTTAACATTGATTTTAACGTGAATCATAGAAACAGCTATGCATTAGATATCTATATATTTCTGACGTGTATTCTTCTGCAAAATTAATTACAACTTTTCAGTTGCCCAGTTACTATTGTAACCCATTTATCATATTATTCGTTTTAGGAAACAATATAGCATTAAAATTATACTTACGTTTCCCCTTCATTTTGTTCTATATTGCTGTGCCTTCGCCACATCCTGGATCATCTGCTTTGTTTTTAAGCCGTTGGTGTTGGATACATAATGTAGTGTGTTTTAGTGGAAATATTAATAATTTTAGCACTTGAATGTCATACTGTTTACATGTTGCATGATAGGATCTAAAAATATTTGAATTCTGTGTAATAAATATGTAACCACACACAGAGAGAGAAAGAAAGAAAGAAAGAAAGAAAGAAAGAAAGAAAGGGTAATATCAAACCTAGCACAATTCTTTCACTTGCTTTACTTTCCCCTCTTAGTTCCTGTGTACCCCAAATCTGAGATACACTCTGGAGCAGAGCTGGGGGGGAGCGTGGAATAGGTAAGAGAGGAAAGAAGTTCCATTGCCCAGTTTTCTGTTGTACAAGCAGGTGGACATCATTGCATGTTTCCCAAAAGGTAGCCAACTAAATCAGAGTAGACCCATTGAAACCAGTGGAATTCAATTAGTAATGTCCTTTGATTTCGGTGGGTCTACTCTGAGCATGACAAAATTGGATACAACCATAAAGGTTTATTTTTGGACATCAAAACTGCTAAAAGTTTTTTATAGCAAGCCAAGAGAATGAGAACTGGTAGTTTACTTGGACTGTGTGACACTTGTATTTAAATAAATGTTGTTTTGACAGGTGGAAATCAGTAACGAGTGTTGGAGAAACCTCATGCATTAACTATGTCCAGGAGGAAGTCGGAGAGCAAAAGTCCTCCAGGCTTGTTGTCTACATCTCTTCAGACACAAATAAAAATAGATAATTTTTACAGTTTCTATGAAGTTGAATCCAAAGAGTTGGGAAGGTAAGAAACTATTATGTTTTTTTGGATTTTACTTTTGTGTCCAAGACTGATCTGCGATAATACAAATAAAAACTTTAATAATTTGATTCATTAATCTAAGTTTTTTAGTATAAGGTATAGGGCAACTTCTGAAGTCTAGTTTTCTCTCCTATCTTGCCCTAATCCAGAGCACACCACTGCTGTTCTGGCTTCCAACCAGCACATTCACTTTCTATTACCTCCTGTACCTGAAATTGAAGTGTCAGTGACCCATTCTTTTGTAAAGCTCTACATCTGTTTTGCTAATAGCCTGCACGCAGGGGCCTGGTGGAAGAGCAGTTCATGGAATGCTTCAGTATGAAGCAAGGGATGTGAATGTTATAGCCAGTATCAGGATTACACCTAAGAAACCTGTCTCCTGATATGGAGCCACATGGCCACAAATCTTGCTCTGGTGGACAGTGATGACCATAAATATGTTTCTGCAGACCACTTGTCTCTGGTTGCATAACGTGAGAGACTCATAAGATATCCATGAATTGCAGAGAATTTGAAGGTGGGGAAAAAACACTTCATTCTGTGTGGGAAAAGTCAGAACCTTTCAGGTTCTTCGTCGTGTGTAAAAAATGGGGAGGGATCAGCCCCTCATTTTGTGTTTGGTGTTGCCAACTTTTGGAAGCAGCAGGTGAGATGATAACAACTTCCAAGTGTCCCCAAAGCCATCATGAAGTAAGAAATTAGCCACTCCTGACTTCTAGGACTTCTTTGTTTGTTAAAGGGTGGCTGTTGGGGAAGGGAGTAGGGCAATTGATAACTATCAGTATTGGTGGGCTACTGTCCTAGACTTTAAAACTACTAGTACTACTTGATTTTTCTTTCTGTAAGGATGCCCAAATCAGTTTAAAACTGGAACTAAAAAAAAAAAAAAAAGTAACACAAGTGCAATTATGCTCCCACATTACAGGATTTTCTGTCCTTCATTATTGCCAGGCAAAGTGGGAAAGAAAGAGGTTGGAGAAAATGAAATTAGTATTGCAGGAATACAGTGTTAGAAATTAGCTAGGCGCCAGGCACATTTTGCGACTGATGCGGGCCCAGTTGCGACCACGTGGAGAACTCTGGATTCCAGATTGGCAACTGGGGAAAGCAAAATGTCACTTAGAGAAGGAACAGAAATATTTTATTTGAAGCTTGAATTTGTTTTATTCTGGATTGTTTGATTTGACGTTTTAATGTGTGGTAAACGGCTTTGAGTTTTGTTCTTTAAAATATAAAGTGCTATAGAAATGAAATGAAATCATCATCCCATTGAAAGAAATGGCGCCTAGACATTCCATTGTGGCAACCACAACCTAGGTTAAAGGTGTGATTTGGCGATTAAATTTTATATCTGAATTTCTAACACTGCAAATAATTCTACAGATTCTTCTACACAAAAATATTGTGTGCATAAGATTCTCTTTGCTTATTGGGAGAGTAATTCTCTTTGTGAGAAATAACTTGGCAGCTTTGAAGTAAATGTCATCTAAAATAGATGGCAGCCATTGCAGAGGCTCTAGAATTGTGTGTGCTAAAGTTCTTAAAACTCTTAATTCACCTTCCTATTTCAAGACATACTCCAAATGTATTCTTTTTGTCTTTGCTGACCAGTTAATGCACATTAGTAGCTTGTTTGAGCTTTATACTTGTGAACTAACGACTCCTTTACCTAATTTGTGAATCTATGACATTATTGAAACACAGTGTGTTCTTTCCCTGTAGCATTTTTAATATGAAAGGTAGATGGAGCAAAATTAGAGAGTCCAATCCAGTGCTTAGTGAGGCAGACTTTAATTTCAAGAAGTAAAATTTTGAAAATTGGAGTACTTGAGCTTAATTAAGAGTTTGTGTGGAGAAAATCTAAGTAGTTGTGGCAGTTAATCTAACACTGAGTGGCTAAGTTGATGTCACTGAATGCTCATGAATGTTCCAGTTGTTCATGGAACAAAGTTATCAATATGTTTGCAGTTCAACTTTTGTGCAGACACAGAAGGTTGTTGATCTGGCTGACTTTGAAACATCATTCAGGCACTAGATATGGGGTAGTTCTCTGAGGCAAGATGAAAACTGGCAATAGGTTTTAGGCAATAGGAAATTTTAATGAGCCTGGTCAAGCAGAATGGCAATAAGGATGAGGAAATATGGATGGGATGAATTTCACAGTTTTAATTGAGTCACTAATTCATTGTCTTTGAATATAATGTTCTCTTCATTGGAATATTTTCTGTTCTTGAATTTTTATTGGTGTATTATTGGGTTGGATTAGAAGCTTTGTGACTAGAACTATTTCCCTGCATCTCTTGAAAGTTCTTCTCTATTCACACAAGGTTCCATTGTCTGATCTTTGATTATGCCATCTGTGCCATTGCCAATACTGCTGAGAAGGGTCTTTGACCCGCTGGAAAGGCTTTTAGGGGTGGAGAGTTGGGAGTAGGGGGCAGTTCTACTTTAGCAGCTTTTGGAGCCAATTCATTGTATGTCTTGTGCTCACATTTGGAACATATATTGTATAATTGCTTAGTGTTAATGATTTGACTTCGTTATTGAGCAGATAGTGGCTTCAATCTAGGAATGTAAGGCAGCAATTTCCACTCTGACCTGTGTTGGTTGCAATCAACACTTTTTCTGTTCCACTGCAGTTCAGTCCTACCAAATACATTATTTGTTTCACTGTCCACTTTTTAACGTAAGTTAATGTAACTTACATAACTATGTAACGTATATTCATTTCAATGCAAAGGAAACATCAGAACAATGAAAAAACCCCTTGTAATTAATTACGTATCATTTGCGGACTTCAAAAAACAACAACAGTTTCAATGAATGCTAATCATATTTGCTTGACTGATTTCCATTCCTGACTACAGATGAATATGCGAACTGCAATAATTTTTGCCTTCTTTTCCTTTATTGTCAGATTTCTCCAACTTCCCTCTTGTCTGTGGCCTCCATCCACTCATTTTTTTTGCCAGTGTGCATGTGCCTCAGAAACGTTTCTGGTAAAACTGGAAAAAAAATAAATAAAAATCCAGAAACCCCTCATCACTGTTAGTGAGCCAAACTAAAATTTGGTAATCTTCCTCCATAGTCCTTCCATTTCTTGATTTTCCTCTACTGCAGTTTCATGTGTAAGATGTCCACACATCATGTAGGTATGCTCTCAGCTGTGGCACTCAGATGTATCCATCTTCCATATGCATGTAGCTGGAAGCTCAAATTGATTGGTTTTAAAACAAGTTTGTGTTTCTGTTATGTATAGTCTTTGTCATGCCTAAAGAGTGGAGAAATAGGATGCAGATGAGGGCAAGGCTTTGGTGGATGGGCATTAGATTAAAGGGTGACAGGCCACAAAGAGAGGATACACGAGGCAGAAAAGTGATTAGCTCATACCTTTTGAACAGTTATGAAAAGAGTTGAAAGCTTTGAGTCTCCAGATACCAAGATCAGTATTTGGTCAAATGTGTGGCAGTTCTCTAAAAAGCACCTGAAGAAAGATAAACATTTTGTTGTTCTCATGAAACTGAAGTAATTCCTCCTTTTGTAGAATGCTAGTCAGCTTCCTCATAGTAAGTTTGCATCATGCTGGGTGAGGCAATAATAATTGCTTGATGTATATTCAGGCTTTATTGTGTTACAGAGTTTGGTTGACTCACTTTCAGCAATGCAGTTTCATTTGACAAAACACCTTGAAATTACAGGTGAAATTTCTAATACTGTATATGTTTCTTGCGGGTCAGTTTTTAATGTTTGCATTTCATTGGAGAATTCAAATACTAATTTAGGAATGAGGCACCCTGTTGTCTTGTATTTCATTATTAATTACTAGATAAATTATTTCCTTAACTGCTTTATACTGGGGGTCCTATGGGAATTGCTCAATTTCATTTTTTAAAGGAAGCAAAACAGCTTTCTGCCAGGTTCTAAGAGTTGCACATCATTTTAAGTGTGGGCAGATGCGTGTTAACTAATCTCTAAAGATCTTAGATGAATCTTTCTTTCTGTACTTTGAAGAGCCTTGAAAGAAGTTATGATTCACTCCTTCGTCCCCCCCACCATGATAGTAACATATTTTAGACTCTTAAATATTTTGTTTCTAGTAGCTGCAGAATTTCCAAATGAAAATGCACACTTAAAGCTGCCTACCTCTGAGTCTTTTTAAAAAAGTAGCTGCTTGATATTCATCCCCATATTTACAGTTAGTGAAAGCTTGTAGTGTTCTTAGTCACTGGCCTCCAAATCTGGACATTTTCCTGAAGTTGCTTACAAGCCCTTGATTTAAAAAGTTGTTAATAAGAAAGGGCTCAGAACAGGGACATTTTCAAAGTATATTTTTATGTGATGTCATAAAAAATGATTGAAACAAAATTAAATTAAAAAATTAAAAAATTCATTCCAGTAGCACCTTAGAGACCAATAACTAACTTAGTTGGTCTCTAAAGTGATACTGGAAGTATTTATTTATTTTATTTATTTATTTTGTTTCGACTACGGCAGACCAACATGGCTATCTACCTGTAAATAAAAAAATGATGTTCACGTGCCTGGAATAATGGTTGAAGAGAAGTTCTGAAAATTTTACTTTAGAATAAAAAGCATTTTAGGCATATCCAGTACAGTGGTACCTCAGGTTACATACGCTTCAGGTTACGTACGCTTCAGGTTACAGACTCCGCTAACCCAGAAATAGTACCTCGGGTTAAGAACTTTGCTTCAGGATGAGAACAGAAATCGTGCTCCGACGGCACGGAAGCAGCAGGAGGCCCCATTAGCTAAAGTGGTGCTTGAGGTTAAGAACAGTTTCAGGTTAAGTACGGACCTCCGGAACGAATTAAGTACTTAACCCGAGGTACCACTGTACACATGTTTTACTTCTGTAACTTCAAGCACTTTAAAGACCTGATTCTGTTCTTCGTTTTATATTAAACTTTTCACTTATTGTATTTCTGGGCACTCATGTAAACATTAACACTAAAATCATAATCCTGGTTTTCAGGCATTCCTAACTTGGCCAAGGGAACACATTTTTCTTTACTTCCTAAAAGGTCAGCTTCATTTTTAAGCAGTATGTGGTTTTCTTCTAAAAACACAATCTTACCAACATACATTTTTGGTTCTAAAGTTAAACAGTTGGTAAGAGATGAGATTTACATGACTTGTTTCTTGCTAGCAATTGAGAATGGGCTTTTGCGTGGAGGCCTTAGGCTGTACTTTGTTTTACCATGAACACATTGTTTTAATTTGACTAGCTCTTTAATTTCCCTGTGCCTCAATTTATCTGTCCAGTTATTCCTGATGTTAAATGTTCTCATTCACACACAACTCTTTCAAAACCTTTACACTGGCTATGAGTGCCCAGCAGCAGACATTTTAGATCTTCTCCACCTTCAAAATGTGAACTGTGTTTTTTCTCTGCACTTTTTAAGAACACTTTTTAAAAAGTGATGCAATCTACCTTATACCAAGTCACAAGTCACAACACCCCTTTGAAAGCCAGGAATGTAGTAACCTCTCTCAAATTCAAAGTACTTGATTTGGCCCAAACTCAGCTAAGCAGCATAGCCGGTGTGTTGTCGCAGTACTGTGGCACCTTAAGGTTAAAGCTTTACACTTTGTTAAGAGGAGACATTATCCCCGCAAATTGAAAATCTGAGCATATGTTTAAGCAAAATGTGTTTTAAAACATCCTTTTAAAAACCTGAAACCAGTTCCTGAAGGAGTTCTTGCCAAACCCCCCCCCCCAACAACCTCTTAAACTCTTCTAAGAAGAAGCATTTCAGAGATCTTTAAAAAACAGAACCATGTTCTTACCTGCACTGTGTATTAAATACGCTTGCCAGCACTGTGGTGAAGTGAAGCTTTTTAAAATGCATTTGCAACACTTTAAATGGCCTTTTATCCTAGGATCTTAAATACAGAAGTATCTTTTATGTGCAGGTAACTTACAACTTTTGCACATTTAACTTGGGCGTATTCAACTTTATATTCTTTGCAAAAAAAATACTAAAAATTTAAGTGAAGGTGGAAAGGCGGAAGGTATCAGGGGGGAAATGTGTCTTGATTATGCACAATTTTGGTTTATGTGTTAACCCTGAAATATAACCCCTGCATAAGATGAGAGTCACCTGTACCTGGTAAATTGCATTTGCAGAGTATTTTCAATCTTTAAAATGGCAGTTGTAAGCATCTTAATACATTTTAGTGCGAGTTTTGTCTTAAGTTCTTAACTAAGAATATTTGATTAAAAAACCCTGTGTAATGTAGTAATCTCCTAATTGGTATTGGGTATCCAAGTATATTTATCTTGGAGGTTGAAGGCTGCAAACTTGCATGTAGTAAGGCTGCTTAAATTCCATTTACATCAGGCAACCTGACTTCATACAGATTTGTGGCCTTAAAACGAGTTAGCCCTTCCTCACACTCAAAATAGTGAAACCCAAATTTTGCGTATAGACTGATATGTGCAAGAGGAACTTTTCTTATTTAATAATGGTCTGCTGCTGGGATTCAAGTTTGCAAAGGTTTGGAGTGAAGCAGGATAAAGGAAATGCAGTGTTGCATGAGAAATCAGGGTACAGATAATTGTAGCTATGGTAGAGGTAAGGTCAGGAGATGCTCCAGCCACTGAAGCCTTATGTCTGGATTGCAGAAAACTTTGCCCAGAGCTCTATTTTTGCTTTTCAAGTCTTCAGTAGGTCTAGATAATGATAAGACTGCAAAAACCATAACTGCAAAAAATACACACATTCTTGTTTGCAGTAAGCTAAAGTTGTGATGTTGACATAACTCTTAAAATATTTCCATATTCTTGTGTCTCTTCGGCAGCTCTTATACTTCACAAATACTTTTGTCCTTTTACAGAGGAAAATTTGCTGTGGTGAGAAAATGTATTGCAAAATCTACAGGCCAGGAATATGCAGCAAAGTTTCTGAAGAAGAGAAGAAGAGGCCAAGACTGCAAAGCAGAGATCCTACATGAAATTGCTGTTCTAGAATTAACAAAGCTGAGTCCCCGTGTGGTAAATCTCCATGAAGTCTATGAAACAACAAATGAAATCATTCTGGTATTGGAATAGTAAGTATGCTTTGTGCCAGTATGTTTGATTATAGATCTATTGATTTTGTCATTGTTTGCATAAGTTCACCAAACATAACCAGAAAGGTAATATTAGAGAATACGTACAGTGTACTTTCTGTTGTGTTTGGCTCTTCTAGGTTTTGGATCTTAATCCTTTGTTAAAATGAACCTTCTATCAGTGGCACTATTATCATTGACCTTCTATATTATGTTTTCTGTTGTAGGCATGGCAGATCTCTGGGTTCTTTCCAACTGAGGCATACTCAGAGTGGACTCATTGTAATTGGTGCACTTAAGTTAGTCACAACTATGAAGAAAATGCAGTATTAAAAATAAAAACAATATAAGAAACCACAAAAGGGGCGGGGGGGGGTAAAAATATTCATGTTTATTGTAACATTGGATTTGTATTGTTAAAATATTCTTTTAAAAACTGATGTGTGTGTGTGTGTGTGTGTGTGTGTGTGTGTTTTATAACTGACTTAGTCCCACTGAAATCAGTTTAGCTGTCCTCATTTCCACTTTGTTGGATACAACCAACTGTCTTTTTAAGCTTTCGGGGGAAACTTAAATAAAATAGAACTTAATCTGTAGTGCATGCATGGTCCTTCCGTAGGTTGATTCTTAGCACTGTACCTTGTAGAATGGCTAAGGATAGAATAGCTGCCTGTTCCCTAGGTGATTCTTGAGTTCCCCATTTATGTCAGATGGTTCTTATTGATATATTTACATTTGAATTGTATATTACACAACCAATTAAGAAATATCCCAAGAATTTTTTCCTGAGCTATTTTCTCATTCTCCCATGTACTTCAACTGCTGTAAGAAGATAGTGCAAGACTGTTTAACAGTGATCAGACTTGTTTTGTTTGATTAAATACATTATTCCAATGATCAAAACTCCCTTTGTTCTAGGAACATTTTGCGACAGGGAATTTCATTAGCTCAAGCAGTTTCTGAATTCTGGGCACAGTACTACGCCTAAGATTTCAGATTGAAACTGCAGAGTGGAAGGAGAGGAGGACCTTTTTCTGCCTCCTGACCTCCTTAAGAATATTAGGGGGGTGGGCAGGGGAAGGACTAGACCATGTGAAAATGAACATAATATTTTTGCTGCAGTTCATTCATTTTCAGCTTTGTATTGTAATAAAAAATTGTGCCTAGACATTCCGTTGTTGCGCCCATAACCTTGGTTTAAGGTGCCATTTAGCTCCTAGCTTTCACATCTCAGTTTCTAACACAGCATTCTTCTACACAAACAAATAATTCAGTTTTCTCCTCCCCCTCCCTGCAATTGTCCTAAATCGCACACACCAGTATCTATTTGCAAGGGATATTGATGCACCATCCATTTCTTTATACCTGAGATGACTATACACAACTATTTATACCAGTAGTGATATAAATTATTTGGGATAGTCATTACTTGTTTTGCTTACCAAAGCTGCTGCTCCTATCTCCACTTGCTAGTACCTACGTCCACAACTGTATTCCAAATGCTGTCTCGGGCCTATAAAGAGCCCTGCATTATTATTTATAGTTATAGTCAGAATAACAAGATACGACATGGGTATTGTAGTACACTTTTTGGTATAAACAAGCTCTTTCTTAATTAAATGTTCATGTAGGATTGATTGCATTATCAGACTGGATACAATGTATCTGTGGTTATTTTTTTGGCACTGCCCTTCCTTTATGAGACATTAATGTATCATGTAGTCTATTAAACAGTCTTTATATAAACTTACTGATTAGTTAACTCAATTTTTATTTCTTCATTGTTCAATCAAGCTTTTTATATTAATAATCTTAATATGCAGATTTCAGCAGAATACATTTGAGCTTTAGATTAATTTAAAATAATGGAATGTTATGAAATATCAGCTTCAACAAGTTTCAAAATGAGAGTCAGTTGCAAGTTGCTGTCCTCAGTGATCCAAAGAACCAGGGTTTTTTTTAATTATCAAGGTAACTGTCATCTTTGCACTTCTTATTAATGTCAGCTTGACCAGTTCTCTGACAATGTTGCATTCTTGTTATTCAACTGTTCAGCGTTGGCACTTCTCAACATTCCCACTTAAGTGTAATTTCCATTTTTGCAGCACTTAATAAGTACAGCATTAACTCTGTGTCAGATTTGTTTGAGATAAATCTGTTGTAACTATAGTTTCATGGTAGCTAAAACTTTTAGTGTCTTGTCCTTGTGTGCTGTTGCTATTTTTTAAACCAAACATTAATTTTAAAAAATCATAACCTTTGTTAAATATAATAGATGCTTTTGTGTAAATGCTGGGATTATATCTAATTTGCCAGTGAGGCTATAGAAGATTTATTGTGAGAGGGTCTTCAACTGAAAAAGGACACCATCTGAAAGAGATGACAGCTTAGATATCGAGAGTGCTAGATAGTGTCAGTGGACATTTGTTGAGTTGCTTTCTGCCACAGAGGAAGGCAACATTCCTGAATCACTGTTGCTAGATAGGCCAGTGGCTGCTGAATATACGACCAACAGCAACTTCAGAATATGCAGCTTAACTTCTTTGAGTTACATAGAAACCTTGCTGTCCTAGTAGACCACTGTAAAACTTGTAGCTGTAGTCATCTGAAATGTCGTTATCCTAGATTACTATGTACAGGGCAACTTGATGAAGCTTTGAGGCATCCTTCCAAAGTCCATTGGGATAAGGAGTAACTCCTGTGCAGCAGAACTCTCCTCTTGATTTACCTTAGCACGTTTTCTTGCATAGAAGTTATAATCTGGTAATAGTTTCTTTTGATCAGGATGGGAAATAGATGTGGAAGAAGTATTTGGGCCGCTAATAGCTTGTGTTGCTGGTCTTTTTGAAAATAGGCCCATCAATCCAACAAAACAAGAAAAAGAAATCGTTCTTTTGGTGTAGAGGCTTCTGCAAGTATATTACTGTTTTAAAATGGAACAGCTTTGGAGTAGTGACATGGAGGGTAGTTTATGCCTGTATACAATGAGCGATGGTGTTGAAGAGACAGCCTTCAGCTGTTGGATTTGTATCCATGCAAGAACAGCCACCTCATTGCTGTTCTTTGACCCATGACGAGAGCTGTGTAAATGGAGATGAACTGTTGTCTATCCTCTTATATGGATTGGTCAAGTAACAGTCACAGAAGAAAGCAAAATTATGCTTTGTCCTCAAGCTTGCTTGAAGTATAATTTGATACCAAATTTACAAGAGGAGGTTGCCAGTGTGGGTGAGCAGGCATGTGTGGAAAGGCACCCTCTCCAATGTTTGAGTGCATGTGATTACTTGCTCCAGCGCAGGGAGCTACAGTTGGATCAAGAAATTACAAAACAGTGTGTGTGTGTTCACACAAGGGGATCGTGGGTTGCAGTGGAAGACATGCCAGAGCAGCGGCTGTGTTTCGGGCATACATTTTGTTTTCATCTTGCTTTTGTTTTCATCTTGCTTCTGAAAGACACTTTGTGTGTGTGTGTGTGTGTGTGTGTGTGAGAGAGAGAGAGAGAGAGAGAGAGAGAGAGAGAGAAAGAAATATAACTTAATATGATTGCTTCAGGGAAGGTATGTAACTGGAGTGCCAAAATCAAAATGCATTCCAGAAAAAAAAGGCAAGAGCTACATTTTTAGCATTTCTTGAAAGGTTGTGGTGAACGAGTATTATATAGTAGTTGAAAACTACTTTTTTAGAAACTTAGGTGAAAAGTAGTCCAGGACAAAGTGTTTTGAGTCCCTCTTAAGGGGCTGTTCCTAGAAAGTTCACAGAAAACAAAGCTGTCTTAATGTTGAGCAACATAGAAGGTTTTCAGGATTGTTGATTGTTTTTCTAGTTGGTTTAAAAGACTTCTTGGATACTTTAGAAAAAAATATCCATTTCCTTTGCTGTCAGTAACATGCTGTGCTGAGATTTAAGTTTCCACTAAAACCTTTTTCTTTGTTTTCTGGTATCTGCTGGTGTTCTGGAAATAAATGCCATTTCACTGACCTCACAAATATGAAGCTTGCAAATGATTTTGCCTTCTACATCACATCCTCACTGCTTATTTTTTGACTATCCCTACAAAAGTTCATGTTGGAGCAACAGAAAATCCCAAGCTTGAGCATTTTACTTTCCCCTCCATCTCTACAATTGTCATTTCAGTCCAATTAAATATGAATTTGTACCAAACTCTTTGAAACTATAAGGCAATAGAACTGGAGTTTACTTTCCAACTGAGACTGCCCTCTGTGATGAGGTCATTTAGAGAGTAAGATGTTAAAAATGAGTGTGTTTGTTTATATTTTTTTTAGTGCTGCTGGAGGAGAAATCTTTAATTTATGTCTCCCTGACCTAGAAGAAGCAATAGATGAAACTGATATTGTTAGACTTATACGACAAATACTTGAGGGCATTTGTCATCTGCATCAGAACAACATTGTCCATCTTGATTTAAAGGTAACTATACATATGAGTGTTAAATAATGTATTTCTTTCTGCACTTTTATTGATGCTGTAGGATATAAATTCATAAATATATTGATCTGTATCTTGATAACTCCTTAACATTTCAAATTGGCCTTTTAGGCTTTTATAAAAATGCTTTGATTTGTTGGTAAGAAACTACTGGCCTCCTGAATTGGTGATATGCCAATTTCAGTAGGATTAGAGTAGTTTAAAACTATGAATTAATCTTAAATTAATATTCTTAATATGTGGTGAATTGTGCATGCACTGAACATTTTTTGTTTCTTTGTTGTAGCCCCAGAATATTTTATTGAGTAGTGTATGTCCCCTTGGCGATATAAAAATTGTTGATTTTGGCATGTCTCGGAAGATTGGCAATTGCATTGAACTACGGGAAATTGTTGGGACTCCCGAGTATCAAGGTATGTCACTGTGCACACACGCTCTTTGAATGCTTCTATGTATTTTCACATATGGTAGAACTACTCAACATTAGAGAGGTACCTGCAATTTTGATATTTTATCACCTGCTGAAAATGTTTTTAGAGAATTAATTTGATTCATGATTTTACAATGTTTTAATGATTTTATTGAATGCCAGCCTTTACATTTTTTTATGAGGTAGTGGTTTATGAATATCCTTACAAATAAAATAAAAATAAAATAAAACTGGTATTGGGTAATCAGCCCCTGACACAGGACTAGTAAAAATAATGGAGTCATTGTTGTTCTACATATAAGCCGTAGAGGAAATTTCCTCTTCAGTTTTCTCCCAGTCACTGGTTAGGAAACATGAATTGTCTCAAGTTGAAAAGTATAACTTTAAAGAAATAAATGTATACTGGTCTCCGGAATGTAAATGGGTTACTTTGAGATTAGTGTATGTACTTTGTAGCAACTTCAACAAAAGGATGGCTTGATTGTGCCGGTTCACTCCTGCATTCCTCTGCATCTAGAACTAAATACACCAGCAAGGACTGTGTGGACCATTCCGTAGATGTTGAAGAGGAAGCTCTCTCTTTTTTCAGTCATACAAACCTATAATTTTAAAATGATGCCCAAATTCAGATAATTGTCATGAGTATACTAGAACACAATTGCTGTACTTCATGGTACTCTTCCTTTCCCCTCTGTCCAGCACCAGAAGTCTTAAATTATGAACCTATTACTCCAGCAACAGATATATGGTAAGATCACTTCTTTTGAAGTTAAAACAACTGTAAAGACTATCTAGTTCTTATATATTAGCTACTATATCATTTCAGTTTAAATTTCTGGAAACTGCTTTTCACATACAGTGGTACCTCGGGTTAAGTAATTCGTTCCAGAGGTCCATTCTTAACCTGAAAATGTTCTTAACCTGAAGCTAATGGGGCCTCCTGCTGCTGCCGCGCCGCCAAAGCACGATTTCTGTTCTCATCCTGAAGCAAAGCTCTTAACCTGAAGCACTATTTTTGGGTTAGCGGAGTCTGTAACCTGAAGCGTATGTAACCCGAGGTACCACTGTAATGCCTTTGTTGGCCATTCATTTGTTATTTGTGACTATAGGGAACAAGTTATAGTCATGGTGACCTAAAGCGGGGGTTTCGATATGGTGCTCATGAGCCCCAATGCCGGGGCCTTTCTCCCTGCCCTCTGCCTCTGCACAAACTTTGAAATATGCCTCCCATCCATCTGGTTGAACCCCCTTCCCGTCTTAATTCAAGAGGAGGCAGCAGTCTATAGTGGATATATTTGTGATGAATAGAAAGGTGAGAAGTGTGTGAAAAAGAAGCAGCATGTGGTGGTGGTGGAGCAAGGACATTTGGCTTCTTTTTGAGACGATGGCCAAGGGATAGGGGCGTTCCTGTCCAGCAGCCAGCACCTAGGAGCAGGGCCACCTGGCTCTCTCTACCACCCCTGATGCCCCTATAGGAAGGGGATGGAAATCTCTTCTGGAATTCTTTACCCCAAAGCCCTATGGAAGGGGATAGAGCACCCAAAAAACAGTGAGGTACAGGCTTTCCATTTCTCTCTCCCTCCCCCACCAAGTATTTAATATTCTGTGTGAAGGCATAAGCACCAGGTGAGGGCACATTTCTGATTCTACTGTATAGGCTCAATCCTCTTGGTAGATTCAACTTATCCTATAATCAGCTGCTTTTATACCACACCTTTTCATTCTGATGGTGGTTTGAGGATATGCCTTGTAAAATCCATGAAGATCTGTGACTTAGATCTATGGGTTTCTTTGTCCCAGGGTAGTGCTGGTAAGTGCTTGATTAACGTTTACCATGTAAGGCATGGATCCTTACGATTTTTGCAAGTTATCCCCTCATGGTTCTAGTTACAGGTTGGCAGCCGTGTTGGTCTGCCACAGTCGAAACAAAATAAAAAAATTCCTTCCAGTAGCACCTTAGAGACCAACTAAGCTATTGGTATGAGCTTTTGTGTGCATGCACACTTCTTCAGATAGTACTCATGGTGGTACTGAAGAGTCCTGGATCTGCAATTTTTACAATTAAGGCTATGGAGACAGATGTGACTTGCAGTTTGACGGTGGCCTGGGGAAAATCTTGTATAAAAATCATGCAAAAATAAGAGGATGCATTTTTAATTACACTTACATTCTATTTCTATGCCCTGTGGTGGCCATTTTGTCACTTGTTGCCACAGCACTTTTTCAGAATTCTACAACTAACAGCCCAAAAAGTAAATTGGTTGTTAGTTGAGGTGAATATGAAAAGGAGCAAGTGATTAATAGCAAACCTGGGATCAGACAAGGTTTCCTATTACACCTTTATTTTCAGAATGTATAAGGCTTCAGTGGAAAGGCTCTTATAAGCTTTTATTGCTTATATATTGTTGACCTTAGATGACCAAGCACCATTTATGATTTGATGGACTACCAGCCTTGGCTTCATAAGCTAAGGAAGTAATTAGATTTTGTTTGTTTCTTTTTTAAACATATCCTGTGGTGGTGTTCGTCTTTGCTTTCACTGCTTTCCAGCATATGCCAGAAATAGAATCTCTTTGCCAATGTTTGCTGTTTCTATTTCAGTTTCTGATTATCTCATTACCACTGTTACAGTTACGCAAACTTCTGAATTCTTAACCGTGCCCACTGGCTTCATTTTTTGTTAAACTGAAAATCTGTTGATCCATTAAATGTGCAGCCTGATCTAGAGTTTTGGATGTTCATATTGGAGCTCTAAGCAAATACAAGTGCCCAGTTCATTTGTATGGCATGCCCTAAATACTGTGCTGAAAGGCAAAGTCTTCTCACTGAGAGAGTATCATCCATTTGATATCTATCATAGTGCAAGAAGTGCAATGAAATGTTTATGAGCTTGTCTCCATTTGGGTCTCCTGAGAATTGGATTGTGGCATTAGCACAATGTACGCCTGCCAGGATTTGTAGAGTCCTTGTGGAGAGAATCTTCCTGCTTATATTTTGATAACAAGCAGGTTGCTTGCCGGTGTCCTGTTGTTAAATATTTTGATTGATATGTTGGTGACAAGTATAGTTGTAAAAATAGGCAAATACTTTGCCTTCTGCCCTTCTGTGTTGAAAATGGAACAGTTCAGTGTGTAAGAAGTACACTTGTTCTATGTCATGAAACTAAGCTGATTATATGAATGCCTCTAGTTTACCTGTAATGACTTTCTACAAATTTTGATTTATAGATCTAGATAGAGATAGATAACTGAAAAGTTAAAAAGAAAAATCTGGCTTGGTATGTGTAATTACAAACAAACATTTCAATATTAAATACATAACTTCTCTAATTTCAGGAGTTTGGGTGTGATCTCTTATATGCTGCTTACACACGAATCTCCTTTTGTGGGAGCTGACAAACAAGAAACGTACCTCAATATTTCTCAAGTAAATGTGGATTATTCAGAAGAAACATTTGCTTCAATTTCACCATTGGCCAGAGACTTCATTCAAATGCTACTTGTTAAAAATCCTGAGTAAGTAGATGATTTGGAGCAGGGCAGAGGAAGAAAACTTAAGCGGAATCTCTGTCTTGCTGTAACATAAATATAGTTGCAAGGGGCTTAGTCATATGAAAAGGCTATTTTTTGCATGTCTGTGTATCACAAGCTTAATTTCAAATTAAAAACCATTTTATTTACTCAGAGTTCTCTTCCTCTTTTGTAAGAACTGCATTGTATAACCTGACACACTGCAGTGGCACAGAAATTATGGGTCTAGAATTGGGGTGAATCTTTGTGTATTTTCCATCAGAAATACTTCCCTATATGCTTGGCTTTATAATGCCAAAGAGCAACTAGCAGTATTTGACTCTGGGTTGTATCCAGCTAAATTCTATTTGGAGCAGGCGCATTAAAATTAATGGACCTAAATTAGTCATGTCCATTAATTCCAATGGGTCTGTTGTGAGCATGACTAACATTAGGGACAACCCTCTGTGTTTGTTAATACTTTCTATATAACCCTCTGAGATGGTGGACCAGGGCTTTCTCTAGTGCAGGATGCGGAACAGGATCTGTTCCTTGTGGGGCACTTTCAGAGGTGGCCAAGGCTTTCCACCTCTCCATCATGACCCAACTTTGAAGGAAAGAATCAGGAGTGCACCATAAGTGTGCTCCCAGTTCTTTCATTTCTTCCTTTGCAGGCCAGCTTTATTCCATTTATGCCAATCAAGTGATTTCTGACTGCAAAATCTAATTTTAACAGGGATCAGCTGCATCTGGGGGCTCCCAAATGGAACCAATCCCAGTGGGGTTTGCATTTGGCACTAAATTTTAAAAGTGACAAATGCGAGCATCTCTTTCTAGGGAACAATCGGGATGTCAGGTGTGGAGCAGGTGGACATGGCTTGTGGGCCAAATAACCCTGCTGAGCATAATTTGACCCACAGGCCGGTGGTTTCCCACTCCTGCTTTTAAGGTATGGAATTGAACAGCTGTAGCCATTTCAGCAAGCTGCAAAGCCTTTCACTCCATCTCCCCATGAAAATGTATTGTGCTTCTACAATTTCTCCAAGCAGTGAAGAGTTGTGTTAGTTGGCTGGCTCCCTTTAATGTTGCAGCCATAATCCTTGTTAGTTTGTGTGTTTATGTGCACAGAATAGTATCAGTGGTATAAGAAAGGGAAGGCAGACTGAGGAAGGAAACCTTTTCATTTTGCCTTCCTTTGCCTTTTCTGTCCATTCTTGCCTGCACTGAACAGCCGCCTTCCCACTGCTTGAAATACATATTGATGGCAAATAGAGGAAGAGCAAGCTATAGACACTTAAACCAAAAAGATTTTGTCTTTCCTTGTGATGAGAATTGGTGGGGTCAGTGAGAGAAGTTACAAGAGGGCAAGTTATGAAGTGTATGCTGTGTGGGGACGATAAGCTTGCCCATCTCTTCCTCCCTGTGGATCTCTGCCAAATCTAGTTGATTAGGGATATAGTTTTGTTTGAAGGCAGTAAGGCTATTCCAGCATCAGGTAGTATTTAACCCTTCTTTCACTGGCTAAGCTGTTGCTTTCAAATGACCTCCATGTCTTAAATGTATATCTTTTGATTTTTATTTTGAAGAGAGCGACCAACAGCAGAGGCCTGTCTGTCTCACTCCTGGCTTCAGCAAAGAGATTTCTTCCTGTTGTACAGCCCTGAAGAAAGCCCCAGTTCTTCTCCAACACATGATCATATGAATAAGGGCACAGAAGAAAGAAATACCAATAAGTGCATGTGTAATGGAATGTGCAGCGAGCGAGAGGATAAAGAGAATATTCCAGAAGACAGCAGTACAGTCTCCAAACGATTTCGCTTTGATGATTCTCTCCAGTACCCCCAAGAATTCACAACAGACTTTGTATGCTAACAGATGCACTCCTGAATGCTATTTTGAACTGAATTTAGGATTCTGATCTACTCCTGTGGCACATGCTTTCAGATTATGGCTTGTCCACTATTGCATTTTGGTTATCCAAGAAATGCACTTTCAGTTGATGTTGTGTTGGCCCTTCTTAGTGCTACCATTGCTGGCAATGGGTTTGACTCCTGGGAAACTGGAGTCCTGGCACCTGAAGTGGATTGTCTTTGGAGGCAGACAAGCAACTGAGTATTTTTTTTTTTTGCACTTTTACATTTGAAGTCCAAATAATGGATTTTGGTGTGTTGATAAATAAAATAGGCAAACTGGGAAGAGGATTTTTTAAATGTTAGCCAACAGTTAGCCTTGTTAAACACACCATAACCATGTTCTAAGCCAAAGAGTGATGTAAAAATACATATGCAGTTGCATTGTTAATAAAGCTACATGAAGTTGACAAAGCAGAGAAATGGGCCCTTTTGTTCAAGTCCAGCAGAGCAGCCTCATGCTGTCATCTTTTTGTTGAACAGATTCAAATCAGTGACTTATTAGTATATAGCTGTACTACAATGAATCCTTTGAGCCTGTGTTTCCCACTTGAAATGTTGACTGGAGTTCAAGTGGCTTCCTGACTGGCAGCCCGGAGGCTCTTGCATGTTTGCTCAGAAGCGAGCCTCACTGGGTTCAGTGTAGAGAGGTTTGCAGCCTTAGACCATTTTCACATGAGGCACTTAAATAACCATTTGCATTCCACAATTCTGTTATGCAAATATAATACCCAGATTTTTTAAAATACTGATTTAATTTAAAAACCTTTTTGTGTATACAAATAACATGGAAAAGGGTCAAAGATGCATTTGTGTCATATGTGAAAATACCTTTAGCTGGTATTTTTTTCCCAGGGGCTACGCAAGGGTACACAGTACTGGCACCTCTTCTTTGTTGTTAAAAACTTCATGATGAGTACCGGCACCTATTTTTCTAGAAAAAAAGCACTGCCTTTACCTATCTACTCACAAACTTGTGTCAATGTGGTATACCTTTCTGGCAGGAAAATTTGCAATGCTATATACTACTTAAGGGCACACTAAATTTTGTGAGGTATTAAGTCTGAAGGCCAACAAGACTAAATTTTATTGAATGAGAACTTCCACAAAAGTGTGCAATGTTAGGTTTCGTCATAATTTATCTTTTATAGATGAAGTTGACTTCATCAAATTATTCTCCTAAATTACAACTCTCTTCTACCTTCCCATTCATCAGTTGAATCCATTGATTGTATCCAAGCAAATATATGATACCACTAATATGTGTGTGTAATGGTGTAATCTCTGCCTCTTTACTCAGAAGTAAGCCCCACTATGTTCAATGGTGCTTACTCTCAGGTAAGAGTACACAGGAATGAAGCCTAAAGCCATGTGTTGAATTTCACAAGCAGTGACATGAGGTTGGCACTGCAAGTAGTTCGACTGAGGTATACTTTATAATCAACGTGCAGATTCAAGCCCACATTCAGAAACTCAGTACAGAATTTCAGTATTTGAAAGCCATATTTTCTTAAGACTGTCAGTTAAAAATCCCTATGGGAAGGGTGGGATACAAAATTCAATTGCCTAATATGCGTTTTTAAAGTGTTGACTTTATTTTAAAATAGATTTTATTGGAATTTAGAAAAATGTATACAGAAACTCAGATCTTTTTTGTCAAAAGTAAAATAATATAGATAAAAGCACAAACAGAAATGAAAAGAAAATAGATAAAAGTGGAGATAAAAATCATAATGGGAGAAAAAAGAAAATAAATAACTACCAATTCCTCATCTATCAGCAATTTGTAAACATTATTCAACTCATCCACTCCAGTATTACACCTAACAAAGCCACTTTCTATAAACCAACATTATCTTCAGTCTTCAAACCCAAATGTCATTCGTTCATTTTCTTTTTCACGCAAAAAGGCTATAAGGCGTTTCCAATGTTTAGTAAATGTTAAGTGTCTTTTCTCTGAACATGTCAGTTCCGCCATCTTGGCGACGTCCAATAGTTTTAACAACCATTCTATTGTTGGTAAATACGAGTCTTTCCATCTTTGTGCATATAAAAGTCTTGCTGCTATAGTCATGTATTGGAAGTTCCACAATCCGTTTCTCATTGTTTGTCCAAGCAGAAAGAGTTCTGGTTTCAGATGGAAGTTAACATTCAAGATCTCTGTATTGTATGAATTTGTGTCCAATATTTTTTAGCGTTTTGACATGTCCACCAAGCAAGATAGAATGTCTCTTTACACTTCCAGCAAGTATTTGGAATATTTTTATACATCCTAAATAACGTCTCAGGGGTTAAATGCCATGGTACATCATTTTATAAAAATCTTAACACAATGTGTATTTTAACCCTTTAATCCACGTATGTTCCCATTGTTCCATCTGTATATTATGCCCAGTCTTTTGCCCATTTAATCATACATTCTTTTACCATGTCAGATGGGCAGGGTACAAATAATAAAATTATTATTACTACTACTACTTGTTCTTGCATTTCAAATTTCAACAGTAATTTGTATATTATCGCAATGACATGTTCATCATCTGTACACCACTATTTCAAAGTCTGCCTTTTTTCTATACCGAAAATCCTCTTTATCTGACTTAAATCTGTGTTGTAAGTAGGAAAACCATTGGAGAGACTGACCTTCCCTTGTTTTAACTTGAGTCTTCTTGGTTCCACTCTAATTATTCTTGGTATGTTAACCCTTTTTCTGCCTATCATGTCTTTTCTATGAAATGCTTCTAGCGTTGAGATCCATAAGGGTATCTTCAGGTATAACCTAGGTTTATATCTCTTCCAGATTCTCAATATAGTATGTCTGGTAAAATGTTTTTTTAAAGTCCACATTGACTTTGACCTTATCATAACACAAATATGATGCCATCCAAACCTTAAGTCATGACTTAATTCCCAAAGTCTCTCATTTCTCAGAGACACTCTTTCATCCACACTAAACAGGCTACAACATACTGATTCAAATCAGGCAGACCCAAACCTCCCCTTTCCTTTCCTTTCCTTTCCTTTCCTTTCCTTTCCTTTGCATCTTGCAACACTTTTATTTTGACTTGTGTTTTTCCCCCTTGCCATAAGAACTTAGATAAATCTTTTTGCCTTTAAATGGTCACAATAGGTATTGTTTGGAATAAAAACATCATTCTAGGCAGAACATTAATCTTTATCACTGAAATTCTACCTAACAGCGAGAGTTTTAACTTCTCTCATCTTGACATACCTTTTTTAACTTCAGCCAATGTTTTAGCATAATTATTAAAAATGTACAGTTCATATTTGTCATAGTAATACCGAAGTATTTAACTTTTTAAAAAATTGTAACCCTTTTTTCTCCATCAGAACCTTCTGGTTTTCTGTTGTCAGATTTTTGTTAAAATTTGTTTTCTGGCAGTTAATCTTAAAGCCTGCCAACATACCAAAATCATTTAATTTATCCATAATAATTCCTATTCTCTGCAATGGGTTTTCTTAAGTTAGCATCAAATTGTTTGCAGGTGCTCTTAGTTTGTAAGTTTCTTTTTAAACCATTACCATAACACTCTTTATACTGACTTTATACCTAGTATCTTCATCATCATCATCTTCTGGAATTGCTCTGAGTCATAAGTAGAGCTCTTTTTCTCTCAATTCCAATAATGCTATGTCATCCAAGTATCTTTCCATCTCTCTATCTGCCACTTGACTTCCACTTTCCAACATTTCCACTCTGTCCTTTACTTGTTTCATCTCTCCAGACATTTGTGTGTAAGATGTTGGTATTTTATTTATTGTCTCCTCCAGTCATTGACATTTTGTATTTGAAAAATGGCTGTGTCTTTTTAAGATTCATTTTTGAATTCATTCATTTCTGTTTTAAGAATTTCCATCTGCTCATTCATCATCTGCTGTATCAAATCAACTGTACTCTGGGTATCTAAGGATGCCTGTCGTTCTTCTGTTTTTCCCCCTGGTGGATGTCATATTGGATATTAATATTGCTTCCCTTTTTTCCCTCCTAAAAGTGTTAATTTTAGATGGTTTAAAATAGAAGATCATCTTGCATAAATACACTTTTAATATGGAAAAAAAAGTGAAATGAGCATGCCACAATAAGTTATGCCAGCACTTTATAAAACAGAATATAGTAAAAATAAGTGTTTCCATTGTGGTATTTTCAACAAATGTTTACATTTCTTACTCCTTTTAGTCTTACCACTTTTAATTTTTTTGAAGAAGTCAGTTTTTTGTCTCTAGTCAAGAGGTTTTTGGATTTTATAAGCACTTGTATATATGTATGTAAATTAGGATATCACTTGCTTCTGACAATGCTAAGATTTGTTTGACTATCTCTAATTTTGTAAGTTTTCTTACTTGTTTATGCCATAAGTTTGTATATAATTTTATTCAAATTATAAGTATTCTCTGAGTTCTCTGTTTTGTGTTCAGAATGTGTGGGTCTTGGTAAGTGGATAAAAGTGGCTATATCAGGTGAGGTTTATATATAAGGTCATAGACCATTAGTATAAAAACAGAGGGGGAATAATAGACCACAAACAACATGGAATGTTACATATAGCATGAAGTATAATACAAATGAAACATACAAAACTATCCATCCTAAACTCACTGAGATCATATTAAGTCCCTGATTGCCAAACTTTAAAATGGGGCCACCCTTATACTCATCATCTTCCTTTCAAACAGACTTTTAACATAACACCCTTTGGTCTACCATGTAAATAATTTAAAATTGGGTGGATCAAATTCTCAACTGCTCCTGATCACATGGGACTCTATTGCAGTGGAGTCCAGATAAACTGACACCACCACCACCCCATTAATGTTCCTCGCAGAGAATGCCACTGGAGAAGCTCTTTGAAGTTTAAAAAGGGAAGAGCATTTGCGTGGACAGGCGGAGTCCCCCCAACCCCAAGTGACTCCCGAGCAGAATAATGACTCAAGACAACGTGC